AAATTACTTTTGACATAAAATATATTTAACGTAAATTTTATTTGTTATAAAATTCATTTGACATCAATTTCATTTATTTGGCATAAATGTCATTTAACGTAATTCTCATTTGACATAAATATCTTTAGAGATAAAATTAGCTTGACATAAATTTTATTTGACGTGAATATCATTTAACATAATTATTATTTAATGTAAAATTAAATTTATATAAATTTCATTTAGCATAAATTCCATTTAACATAATTCTCAGTTGGCATAAAATTTACTTGACATAAATTTCATTTGGTATAAATCCCATTTAACATAATTTTCATTTGACATAAAGTTCACTTGATATAAATTTCATTTGATGGATAAGTCATTACACATAATTTTCATTTGACATAAAATTCAGATGTCGTAGATTTTATTTTACATAAAGATCATTTGACATGGAAATATAGGCGCTAATTTCAAAATTGGCAAATCACAATGATGTTGATAATATCTAATTGGATAATTTTAAAATTCGCGCCGATATTGTTATGTAAAATGTAATTTGTGTAAAATGATTTTTATGTCAAATGAGAATTTTGTTGAATGACTTTTATGACAAATGAGAATTGTGTTAAATGTCTTTTATGTCAAATAATGTGCATATTATGTGAATTTCAAGTTAAGTAGTTTTATATCAAATAACTATTTGGTCAAAAAAGATTTCATATGCATGCATCTCATAAAATTCTTCGCTCAAATTCAATTATGTTCAAAAATGAAAAAAACTCATCCAAAATTCAATTATCTTTCAAATTAATAAAATTCTTCTCCAAATTTCAAGTATTTTAAAAAACTTTAATAAAATTTTTGGCAAATATTCAATTATTTTCAAAAACAATTTAATTATTTAAAAAAAATTTTGCTATTTAATTATTTTCAAAAATAATAAAAATTTCACATATTTACAAATTTTTTTAGAAAATTCTACGCAAACATTCAATTATTTTCATAATTAATAAAACTTTTTACAGGAATTCAATAATTATTTACAAATTTTTTAATAAATTTCTTCGCAATAATTGAATTATTTTCATTAATAATAACTTTTTTACAAAAATTCAATTATTTTTATAAATAATAAAATTCTTTCAGGAATTCAATTATTTTCATTAATAATAAAACTCATTGCATAATTTTAATTATTTTTAATGCAATTTTAATCGAATTCCTCGAAAATTTTATTCTTAAAAATTTTATTAAAATTCGTCCAATGAATTTAATGATTTAAAAAATTTGTTGATAACATTTTTTATGAGAATTAAATTTCAAGAAACATGAAATTAATAAATTATTTATTTTTGTGTTTAAATAATTGAATTCTCGTAGAATTTACCAATAAAAATGATTTTAAAAATGAATTTTAATTAAAATTTTAGATTATAATTAAAAATATTAAAAGCATTATAACGTGAATTTTTAGAAATAATTAAATTTTGAAAAAGTTTCAAATTAAACTAATTGAAATTCATAATTTTTAATATTTTTGACAAACCATTCTGTAGAATTGATCCTTTTTAAAATCTAATAGGATTTTTATTGAAATTATTTCAAGTTTTTATTTTTCAATGTGTATTTAATTGCAGAATTTCCGAATAATTGAAACTTTGTAAAATTGAATTGTAAACGAATGACTTTAAAAATTCTCAAAGAACTTTTTTAAAAATTATTATAAATAATAGATTTATTAAAGAATTTTAGTTAAAAACTCTAGAAAAAAATTTAATTTTAGGGAAGTTACAAATTATTGCAGAAATTCAATTATTTTCAAGAGTAATAAAATTCTTCTTAAGGATTCAATTATTTTTACTAATAATAAAACTGATCGCAGCGTTTCAATTATTTGTCATACAATTATAATTGAATTCCTTGAAAAAAGTAATTATGTTCATGCAAGTTCTAATAAGATTTGACAAAAGAATTCAATTATTTAAAAATTTGGTAATAAAATTCTTTATGAGAATTGAATTTTGAGAAACATTCAATTATTCAATAAATTATTTACTTTTGCATTTAAATAATTGAATTCTCGTAGAATTTTCTAATAAAAATTGATTTTCATTTCATAAAAATGAATTTTAGTTAAAATTTTAGATTATAATTGAATATTAAAAGCAATATAAAGTGAATTTTTAAAAATAATTGAATTTTGAAATTTATTTTTTTGAAAAAGTTTAATTGAATTTTCTTTTATATTATTTAAAGTTTTTATTTTCTAATATGCATTTAATTAAAGAATTTAGGAATAATTAAAATTTCGTGAAATTGAATATTGTAAACAAATGGATTTAAAAATTGCCAAAGAACTTTTTCGAAAATTATTAAAAATACTTGATATAAAGTAAAATTGTAGTTAAAATTTTTTGAAAATAATAATTGAATTGAGGTAATGAAAATAATTTGGAGGCTCGGTGAAACTAGCGACCCGCCGGCCGCCAGCCATCAGAAGAATCCATAGGCGCCGACACACATAGTAGCACGGTGGCCCTATACGGTTCAATCAATGCAAAAACAGCGTACGCTATCTATTACAGTTTATAGAAAAAAATTACAATAGTCACATTTTAAAGAGCAATAATCCCCCTTTAATTTGTGACCAAGAAATAAAAAGGAAATTAAAGAGGGATTATTGCTCCTGAAAATGTGACAATTAAAAATTTTTTTAATAAATTTTTGATAGCCAGCGTCCCCACCCGCCCGTATCAGAAAAACGAAAATTGGAAAAAAAATCGGAAAAAAATTCATAACTCGAATAATTTTTGACTAATTCTTTGTTTCTTGGTCGCAAATTAAAGGGGCATTATTGCTCTTTAAAATGTGACTTTTGCAATTTTTTTCTATAAACTGTAATAGCTAGCGTACGCTGTTTTTGCATTGATTGAACCGTATAGGGCCACCGCGCTACTATGTGTGCCGGCGCCTATGGATTCTTCTGATGGCTGGCGACCGGCGGGTCGCTAGTTTCACCGAACCAATTTGGAAGAAGTATAATATTCTGATAATATAAAATAATGATTTTATTACTTGGTCATCTTTAATTATTATAAAATATGAAGAAATCGATGACTCGGAGTTATCGATATCTTCATGTTTTATAGTTATATAAAAAATCTATTTAACTAAAATTTCATTCATTATAAAAAATAACACCAAAATTGATTATTTTAATCTTTTTTGTTGTTAATTTAATCTGCAACACTTTTTAATACTTCACGATTTACTGGGAGCTTATTAACTCCCAAATTATGTATTTTTCTATCTTATTTCTCATGCTATATTTAAATCCTTACTTTTTTATGTTCTGGAATAATAATTTATTTTATAATAAATTAACAAGATATTCGATTAATAGGATCCTTAATTTATGAGTCACCTTTAGTAATTATCAGTCACTAATTGAGGATTCTCGTGCAATAAGGGGACGCGCAGGCTATTCGTTATCCTCTCGCGCAGCCGCAGAATCCCTATACGCAGGGACTTTCACTTTCATGCGTATCCCCTTATTGCACGTGAACTCTCAATTCAACATTTTTATAAATTCAAATAGCATATTAAATATTAATACTAGTATTTTATGTCAAATTCTTTTTCTTTATCTTGAAAAAAAGCTGAACTATAGTGACCAAATGAAAGAAAGAAAACAAAAGGATCTAAAAGAAGAGAAAAGCAATATTAAATAAAAATCTCCTTCTCAAGTAAAAGAGAACAACAAAAAAAGGAGAGATACGATTTCGAACATTTTTCGAAGAGGAAAAAAGGAAAAAAGTTGAAATCAGCTTATATATATATATATATATATAGAATATATATGAGAGGATCTACAATGTTAGTTTCCTTCGAACTGGACGTATCAAAGAAATCAATTACACAGCTACACACGCTCCGAACAACCCCACACTTCAACCTAACAGTCCACAATCGTTCAAAAACTCCCCCTCTAAATTTCAACTATATATCCTATCTTCCTTCCTCTGCGAACCTGCTTTCCCTATCTCACATATTTATTTTATACTGCCCGCACCTTACACGAATCATTCCCAAGGCCTTTATCGAACAACGATTTCCGGGAGTGTCCTCTCTCTCTCTCTCTCACTCTTCCCCTAAATCTCCATTTGCCGGAACTCAATTTCAGGTTTCTATCCTGAAAAAGCAGTTTTAAAGTCCATCATTGATTTTCATATATCTAGAGAGAAATAAGATGACAATTTGGAATATACTCGAGATTTGAAACTGTTTTAACTATTGTAAAGGAAATAAAATTTCGAAAATTAAAATTAGTGTTTAACTAGTTTCCTTTAGTCGAAATTTATAAATGCGAGACCAAAATTTTTGTATAGGAAGTATTTTTGAAATTCTTCAGTCTTCTCCCTCCACTTCTTTGAAATGAAATATAATTAATAAGTCTTAAAATAAATATTTCTATTTTTCCGGCCTTAAAAAAATAATCGATTTTGAATATGAAATTTACCTCCACCATTTTGTTATAAAATTTTAAATAAAAATTTCTTTTCCACACTTCAATAATTATGTATTTAATAAACCCTTCAAATAGAAATCCTATTCCATTTTTTATTTTCATCAAAGATAGATCTCTTTTTCTGCCTCTAAAGTGGTGTTACACCTTAATTTGAACTATTATTATAGACAATATTTTTTTTCAATTACTAATTATTAATAAAAATTCTTGAAAATGCAGATACAAGCTCACAAAATAAATTTCTAATCTTTTGCTAAACAGAGAATAAAGCTCAACCGCATGGACTCGAAATTACCGAAAAAGACCAGTGAACTAACACCCAAGAGAGAAAAGAAAAAGGAGAAAGAGAGAGTGAGAGGGACAATACAGAAATGGCATTTCGGATAAAAGCAGAGGGAACGAGAGTAAAACAAGTCAGACAATATAGGAAAAAAGCGAAAAAAAACATCATTTTAGTTCGAGAGTATAAGAGAGGGAGAGATAAAAATGTAGAGAGAGAGAAAAAAGAGAGAAAGAAAGAAAGAGAAAAAGAATAGAGGGATGGCTAGTCGGGGTGGCAGAGAATAGCCTCAACTGGACAGTACCAGAATGACTGGACTACCTACCTACTTTTATATCGCTCGGGAAATAATGGGATTCCCATCATGAAGTGGATTTCCCTCGGGAGAGTTGGACATCGATGCACGCGTCAAGAGATCCTACGAATGTCCAACATCCGGATACCTAGTACCTATCGGTCTCACGTCCATCTCCCTACACCCATAGAAAACGTTCAAACCCTCGTTTCACCTGTCCTATATCGTTGCACACTCGTTTTCGTCCTATCAACTTTCCTATATTATCCTTTTTTTCGCTTAGACACGTGCCTCAACGTACTCAACAACTGATAACTTAAACTATGACAAACGATTATCATTATATTCATTCATCTTTTCATGTCTTTCAAGTATTCAACTTTCAAATGAGCGCCGATATTTTTATTTCTTTTCCTAATTTGTATTTTATTAAAAAATATTTTATTTATTCAAAAAAATTAATTTTTAACTATTAATTTATTTTTCAATGTGTGACGCGCTCCCAAGAAAGGTACCTAAGAAGCAAACGAATTATGGGTTAGGTTCGTGTTAGATTTATCTTTATTAAAAGTTGATTTTTAATTATTTTAATTTGAAACTTTTCATTGAATATTATTGATATAATGAAGACTTGAAGATCAATAATTTTTAATTAATAATTGATTCTCTTTCTGTATTTTTACTCAGAAAATTAAAAACATAACCTCAATTTTTTTGCTTCTTAAGTACCTTTCTTCGGAGCGTGACACATATAGTATAGTTCCTATAATGTTCTGAATGAAATATTTTTTCATTATAAATATTTTCAACAATTACTGCGATTGCAATAAAAATTCAAAGTATAAATGAAGTATTTCGAAACCTAAAAATTATATTTTGAAACTAAGTGACAATATTATTATAATAAAATATTAATTCGAAGAAGACATAAATAAATTTCGTTCATTTAAACGTTCAGAACATTTTAGAAGCATAATTCTTGAAAATATTTAAGAAAACGATCAAAAAAATTTAGTAGAATATCTTTTGAATCAAAATTGATTCACATTTATCTTTAAAATTTTTTTTTCTTAGTATTATTATTTATGTTTTTTAGAGTATTATATTTATAATATTTTAATTATTACTTCCGCATAGAGGAAGTATTTACCTATATATATTTATTTAATTTATATTTATAATAATCTTTTAGATTTCGAAACGTTTGGAGTAACAATAATAAAATCATTGTCCGAATGTTTTCGTTTTATTCGCACCATGTTTTATCAAAAATTCTCGAATGTAAAGAATTAACTAATTAAACATATAAATTTTCAATATTTCGAAATATTGATAAAATCTTATAAAAACGAAAAAAAAAGTGTTCAGAAAAATTTAATTCTGTATTTTCCTGATTTCTAAATTTAATTATTCAAAACACCAATAATTTTGTTAAATACAAAATATTTAAATAAATTTATTAAAATAATTGGAAAATATTGCTTTAATTTTAATAATACTTTTATTCAATATATTATTTTTTTTGCCCAAGAATTAAATTTTTTTAAATTTCAATATAAAAACCTTATGTAAAATATAAATAAATTAAAAAAAATTACAAGTTGTACTCCTTCAAAACTAAATTTCTCGAAATCAATTACTTTTAATAATTTTCCGAAAGTACTTCGATAATTCAATTAGGGTAAATGCACTAGTAGTCGGACACTTAAGGATACAATCTTAAATTATGCTTTTTTTCTTGAAATAGCAAATATCTACTGTGTTTATAAGCACATTATTAATTAAAGGAGTTCTTCAGGATTAAAAATCATATAAATTTGTTACAAATAGTAATGAGTATTTAATAAAATATAAACATTTTAATAAAAAATTACGAATGCTTTAGTAGTCGGACACTTTTTCCCCTTGTTTCTATAGTCGGACATCTGTCAGATATTTTGAATTTATAAAGTAAAAAAGATAATTTTTTAATTGCTATCTGCTGGAAAATCGAATTAAAGCATATTAGAAGTTATTAATATAATATTTAAACCCAATAAATTTTAATATTTATGATTAATTATCAACAAAACTTTGTGCCACTCATCGCGCTACTCGAAAATGGTTGTATCTATAGTCGGACACCATGATTTTTAAAACATTAAATAAAATATTTCTTGTTTAATTATTTTCGAAAATAACACTATTTTAATAAAATATAAACTTCACACATTCGTCTAGTATACTTTTAAAGTAATTATCACAATGCATTATTATTTATTTGCCAAAAAACACGAAAGTGTCCGACTACTAGTACTGTCCGACTATACCTGCACTTACCCTATTTAATTACAAAAATTTCATTTTTTTATAATAATTAAGACGATAACTCTTTATATGTATTTTTAAAAAAGTTATTTAAGGTGAATAAAAAATATGTAATCAAAAATATTTTTAATATTTTAAAAAAATTAACTTTTGAAAAACTATTATAAAAATATTCATAAAATTACTCTCTAATTGTGAATTGGTAAAAATAATTACTAATTTGACTGACTTTTTGATTTTGAATTAGAAAATACTTATAAATTAGTAGAAATTACTATTTATTAAATTTTACTAATAAATTATTAGAAATTACTATTTAGTAAATATTACTAATAAATTTAGTAGACATTACTATTTAGTAAATTTTACTAATAAATTAGTAGAAATTACTATTCATTAGTAAAATTTACAAATTTAAAACCAAAAAGTCAGTCACTAATTAAAATTTAGTAAACATTTTTACTAATTTAAATTTAGAGAGTAGTTATTAAGAAAAAATTTTTAATAAATTTGAAAAAAAGATGTTTTTAATACAGAATTGAAAAATTTCCAAATTAATTGTTTAGTACAACTTTTAAAAAATAATTGAATTTTTGAAAAAAGTTTTTGATAGATACTAAATATAATCAAGTTTTTAAAGAATTTTAATAACAAATATGAAAATAAATTATTTCTGCAAAATTTTAATAATAAGCCTAAAAAAGCAGATTTTTTAAAATTTTAATTTACTTCTGTTAAAGATAATTGTATTTCAGAAAATTATAATAAGAAAATTCTAAGAATTAATTTTTTAAAAAAATATTTTAATACAATTTTTAGAAACTAATTATCATTAATGTTTGTTCTCAAATTTTTATTTAAAGAATTTTTATTAAAATTTTTGAAAATTGAATTTATTTTAAAATTCGCAATTAAAATTCTTCAAGATTTGATTGCTAATTACAACAAAAATGGAAAATGTAAATTAACCCGTGTAGAAATTTAACCATGGCCCAAAACGGGGCCAGATCTTTTGATCATTGTGTAGGCCATAACATGGCAATTTCTACACGGGAAATATTTTTATTCACTCTATTTTAATTTTTTTATTATTTTATATGTGTAATAAAATATCAATTTCAAGAAGTTATAAACAAATTTCGTTAATTTAAACGTTCAGAATTTTAGGAACGTATAAAATTTTCTTTTAATTTTCAAATAACAAATTATAGAAGAATTAAAGAAAAAATAGAGACATTAATAGACGCAGCGAGCTAAAATAAGGCGCGCAATCTGTCTCGTAAAATTAAATTCAAAATTTTTTTTTTTATTCCAAAAATTAATTTCTTTTTGTCCACCAAAGTGGATAATTTCAATAATTCTAATAATTTATTTATGTTAGATTATGTTTATTCAAATAATTTATAACTATAAATTTAACATGGCTTTTATTTTCAAAGTGTTAAAAAATTTTTTTAAAGAATCAGAAAAATGTACCAGAACATTTTTTATTTTATTTATGGGGAAATTTTCTTCAAATCTCTTTTTATTTCGATTATATGGCAAAATTTAAAAAATGATAATTAGAAATTATTTAATGACGCAAATCTCTAAAATAATTAAAATTAGATTCAACTTTAAATTTTGAATCTTTTAAATTGATAAGAAATTCAATCAATAAAATTAAAATAAAAATTTTTTCCTAATATTTCTATCAAACTTGAAAAGAAACTCGAAAAAAATTAAAAAATTGAAAATCAGAGTATTCTGGTTTTTATGGAAAACATATTGAATTATATAAACAAAGGCAAAATATACGCGTAAAGAATAAACATTTAATAAATTTAATAAATTCATTAAACATTTAAACACTTAATAAATAATAAATACTTAAAATAATTAATATTATAAGAAACTCACCAAAAAGATGTTTACGAAAAAGTTGATATATTGTTTCACTTACTTTTAATTATTTCCAAATTGTTCCACATCACATTTCGATAAATTGATCCAAATTTTATTTCCAAATCGCCCCACAATATTTTACTGAACTTCGTTGACTTTTCACTTTACCCTGAAAAATATACTTTTTTAATTTCGTAATACAATTTTAAAATACACTTGATAGAAATTTTCAAAAAATTATATAAATGTTAAAAAAAAATAAAGATTACAAATGCTAATCAAAAAATAAATCATAAAACTTATTTAATCATAATGTCTAGTGAATTTTAGAAATATTCAATATTATCCATTATTTATTAATAATATTTTATTTATTTGTCTTTTGTAAAATAATTCTATTCACAAACAAAAAGATTTTTTTTCTAATTTCAACTGTTTGATTATTAGTCAAATGTGTAAATTATATATTATGACGATGAATAAAATGAATAAAAAGTATAATTAACCTCAAAAAATTTGGAGAAATAATATTATAATTACAATTATATAAAATTCATTGCTAATTAATAGTATTTTAAACTTGAAAATCTGTATTTAGCTGCCACTTGCATATTATGAAATAACCTAACCTTTTAGGAGGGAAACTGAAAAAAATGAACAAATGTTCGGCAAAACAGCAAAAAAAAAGTTGCAACTTGGCAAAAAAAAGATGGCGGCGATCAGCTGCGATTTACAAACCCAAAGTGCCCAAAGTCCCAAACATCTCAATATTGAAAAAATGGCCGCTATGCTACAAATTTAGTTCGAAAAAACACAAATCTACACTTTTCTCACCGATATTAACCGGCTTGTGCCGATTTGCAACGGGATGCTTCAATAAACGTGTGCACAGAATACGACAATACAACGACAAAACTTGAGAATAATGCTTAGCAACAACAATGACCGTTCTTTGTCCCTCTTTTGCCAAATGCACGATTAACTTGGCAAAGGGACTTTAGCCATCATATTAAGTGTCATTTTCACTGTGCTCCCTTATTTTGAGATATTTTACCATTTTAAGACTAATAAACCAATTACAGGACAAAGGAAAATGTAAAATTAATTGCTAGAAAAAGCGGGCGAATATTGTACATTTTTTTGTTTTTCTTACCCATCCACCGTATTTATTGCTCCTCTTCGTACACTAAACTATTACTACTATCACTGAACACTAATAACTTGGTTAATTGAACATAACTGTGTAAAAGTTCATAAATTAATAACTCATTAATGAAGAATTAATAACGCATGAAAGCCCACTTGTAGCACTAATAAAGAAGTGGGGGAGGAAAGGAAAACGCGCGAAAAATAATGGTAGAATTGCGCACCAGCGCCATCAGTGGCGGGTAATCGAAAGCTCGTAGGCGCGAAGTTTAAAATTAGAATTTAGAAGAACATTAAAATAATTACTTTATTATTAATATAGAGCAATAATAATGTGTTCTAAATACAGATAATTAATTTTAATTTATTAATAAACTTTGAGAAGTTATATACTGACATATGGTAATAGAATTAAATTCCCCAGACTCCCCAAGTAACCAGAAGTTAGTTCTCGTCCTTACCGACCACATCTTACCGACTGCAAATTTTAAAAAGGTTTTACCGGTAGTCCGCCAGACTTTCCATGTGCATTTGAGTTTTAATTTTTATATATTTATTATTTTGTTAAATAAAATAACTCCTATTTGTTAAATAAGTTTTCTTTATTCTCATTGTAAGACAAATTTTGTTACGGTTAGTGAACAATTTAAAGAAACAGTAAATCGAGTAAAATTCAGTAACTAGTAAATTTCATTATAAAGTGAAATTTTAGGTTAGGTTTGTTATTTATAATATGCAGTGAAATTATTATAAAATACGAAATAAAATAATAGAATATAATTTATAACAATACAAGAAACAATTGTTTAAAAAACATGTCATCCCTGTGGAAATTTACTAAACAATTACAATTAATTCCCAGTATTCTTCAACCAAAGTAAGTAGAATATTTTCCAATTTTAATAAAGTTCGAACGGGATTTATTTACTTCTTTTTCGAATTAAAATTTTATTATAAATAATATTGTCACTTAGCTTCAAAATATTCATTTTGACTTTCGAAATTTAATATTTAATTTATACTTTGAAGTTTAATTGTAATCGCAGTAATTATTGAAAATATTTCGTTCATTTCGAACGTTCAGAACTTTAAGAACATTATTTTTATTTGCAGGTGTAAATAAAATGTAATTAAAGATTGACTCTTAATAAATTTGATTTTCGATTGAATAAATTTTTAATTTTTAATTTTATTATTTAATTTTAGAATCAATGTAACAGAATTAACACAAAGGGGAATGAAGACACTTAATCGTCCACCGAAAAAACGTTTATCGCCCTGGCTAAAAACACCACAGGCTCCATTAAATGATGTTCTTCAGGAAAGAATTTCCGATGATAATAAGGAATTTATTCACGAAGTCCTCACAGACATGTACCCAGAAGTTAATCCAAATTATAAATCTCCACTTAAAATTGAGCCTATAGAACCAAACGTTCAGTGGACAAAACATTCGCAACGTTGTGGAGTTCTTGCAAAGAAAATTGGTGTTACCTTAATGTGGACGAAAAGTGGAAAACCAGTCAAAACCACTCTTCTGCAGGTATTGTACATTTTTATTTTTACATTTCGTTTCAATATTTGTATTTATAATATTTTTTAACTAGCTGTCGTACCCCTCTTCGACGGGTTTTAGTTTCTACCAATGCATTTAACAGTGTTTCTACCAATCTGGAAAATCAGAAAATAGCCGGAAATTTAATTTGACCGGAAAATTAATAATTAGTTACCATTAGCTATTTCGGTAGTATAATATTACTACATATTTGAATAGTCTTCACCCTTTAGCAAAAAATCAAAAATTATCAAAAATTCGAAAAACCGAATTTCTTAAAATTCAACATTTTTTCTTCTCTTTTATGGAATTAAGCTTCATTATTTTTAGGCTCTTTAAAAATACTTTACTTAGTCAAAAGTCTCCACCCTTTGGTAAAAAATCTAAAATTATGAAAAATTCAAAAAAGCGAATTTCTTAAAATTTAACTTTTTTTCTTCTCTTTAATGGCATTTAGCTTCATTATTTTTGTGCTTTTAAAAAATACTTTACTTAGTTAATAGTCTCCACCCTTTGGTAAAAAATCTAATTTTATGGAAAATTAGCAAAAATTCAAAAAACTGAATTTCTTAAAATTCAACATTTTTTCTTCTTTTTTATGGCATTTAGCTTCATTATTTTTGTGCTTTTAAAAAATACTTTACTTAGTTAATAGTCTCCACCCTTTGGTAAAAAATCTAATTTTATGGAAAATTAGCAAAAATTCAAAAAACTGAATTTCTTAAAATTCAACATTTTTTCTTCTTTTTTATGGCATTTAGCTTCATTATTTTTGTGCTTTTAAAAAATACTTTACTTAGTTAATATTCTCCACCCTTTGGTAAAAAATCTAATTTTATGGAAAATTAGCAAAAATTCAAAAAACCGAATTTCTTAAAATTCAACATTTTTTCTTCTTTTTTATGGCATTTAGCTTCATTATTTTTGTGCTTTTAAAAAATACTTTACTTAGTTAATAGTCTCCACCCTTTGGTAAAAAATCTAAATTTATGGAAAATTAGCAAAAATTCAAAAAACTGAATTTCTTAAAATTCAACATTTTTTCTTCTTTTTTATGGCATTTAGCTTCATTATTTTTGTGCTTTTAAAAAATACTTTACTTAGTTAATATTCTCCACCCTTTGGTAAAAAATCTAATTTTATGGAAAATTAGCAAAAATTCAAAAAACCGAATTTCTTAAAATTCAACATTTTTTCTTCTTTTTTATGGCATTTAGCTTCATTATTTTTGTGCTTTTAAAAAATACTTTACTTAGTTAATAGTCTCCACCCTTTGGTAAAAAATCTAATTTTATGGAAAATTAGCAAAAATTCAAAAAACTGAATTTCTTAAAATTCAACATTTTTTCTTCTTTTTTATGGCATTTAGCTTCATTATTTTTGTGCTTTTAAAAAATACTTTACTTAGTTAATATTCTCCACCCTTTGGTAAAAAATCTAATTTTATGGAAAATTAGCAAAAATTCAAAAAACCGAATTTCTTAAAATTCAACATTTTTTCTTCTTTTTTATGGCATTTAGCTTCATTATTTTTGTGCTTTTAAAAAATACTTTACTTAGTTAATAGTCTCCACCCTTTGGTAAAAAATCTAAATTTATGGAAAATTAGCAAAAATTCAAAAAACTGAATTTCTTAAAATTCAACATTTTTTCTTCTTTTTTATGGCATTTAGCTTCATTATTTTTGTGCTTTTAAAAAATACTTTACTTAGTTAATATTCTCCACCCTTTGGTAAAAAATCTAATTTTATGGAAAATTAGCAAAAATTCAAAAAACCGAATTTCTTAAAATTCAACATTTTTTCTTCTTTTTTATGGCATTTAGCTTCATTATTTTTGTGCTTTTAAAAAATACTTTACTTAGTTAATAGTCTCCACCCTTTGGTAAAAAATCTAAATTTATGGAAAATTAGCAAAAATTCAAAAAACTGAATTTCTTAAAATTCAACATTTTTTCTTCTTTTTTATGGCATTTAGCTTCATTATTTTTGTGCTTTTAAAAAATACATTACTTAGTTAATAGTCTCCACCCTTTGGTAAAAAATCTAAATTTATGGAAAATTAGCAAAAATTCAAAAAACTGAATTTCTTAAAATTCAACATTTTTTCTTCTTTTTTATGGCATTTAGCTTCATTATTTTTGTGCTTTTAAAAAATACTTTACTTAGTTAATAGTCTCCACCCTTTGGTAAAAAATCTAATTTATGGAAAATTAGCAAAAATTCAAAAAACTGAATTTCTTAAAATTCAACATTTTTTCTTCTTTTTTATGGCATTTAGCTTCATTATTTTTGTGCTTTTAAAAAATACTTTACTTAGTTAATAGTCTCCACCCTTTGGTAAAAAATCTAATTTATGGAAAATTAGCAAAAATTCAAAAAACTGAATTTCTTAAAATTCAACATTTTTTCTTCTTTTTTATGGCATTTAGCTTCATTATTTTTGTGCTTTTAAAAAATACTTTACTTAGTTAATAGTCTCCACCCTTTGGTAAAAAATCTAAATTTATGGAAAATTAGCAAAAATTCAAAAAACCTGAATTTCTTAAAATTCAACATTTTTTCTTCTTTTTTATGGCATTTAGCTTCATTATTTTTGTGCTTTTAAAAAATACATTACTTAGTTAATAGTCTCCACCCTTTGGTAAAAAATCTAAATTTATGGAAAATTAGCAAAAATTCAAAAAACTGAATTTCTTAAAATTCAACATTTTTTCTTCTTTTTTATGGCATTTAGCTTCATTATTTTTGTGCTTTTAAAAAATACATTACTTAGTTAATAGTCTCCACCCTTTGGTAAAAAATCTAAATTTATGGAAAATTAGCAAAAATTCAAAAAACTGAATTTCTTAAAATTCAACATTTTTTCTTCTTTTTTATGGCATTTAGCTTCATTATTTTTGTGCTTTTAAAAAATACTTACTTAGTTAATAGTCTCCACCCTTTGGTAAAAAATCTAATTTATGGAAAATTAGCAAAAATTCAAAAAACTGAATTTCTTAAAATTCAACATTTTTTCTTCTTTTTTATGGCATTTAGCTTCATTATTTTTGTGCTTTTAAAAAATACTTTACTTAGTTAATAGTCTCCACCCTTTGGTAAAAAATCTAAATTTATGGAAAATTAGCAAAAATTCAAAAAACTGAATTTCTTAAAATTCAACATTTTTTCTTCTTTTTTATGGCATTTAGCTTCATTATTTTTGTGCTTTTAAAAAATACTTTACTTAGTTAATAGTCTCCACCCTTTGGTAAAAAATCTAAATTTTATGGAAAATTAGCAAAAATTCAAAAAACCTGAATTTCTTAAAATTCAACATTTTTTCTTCTTTTTTATGGCATTTAGCTTCATTATTTTTGTGCTTTTAAAAAATACTTTACTTAGTTAATATTCTCCACCCTTTGGTAAAAAATCTAATTTATGGAAAATTAGCAAAAATTCAAAAAACTGAATTTCTTAAAATTCAACATTTTTTCTTCTTTTTTATGGCATTTAGCTTCATTATTTTTGTGCTTTTAAAAAATACTTTACTTAGTTAATATTCTCCACCCTTTGGTAAAAAATCTAATTTTATGGAAAATTAGCAAAAATTAAGAAAACTGAATTTCTTAAAATTCAACATTTTTCTTCTTTTTTATGGCATTTAGCTTCATTATTTTTGTGCTTTTAAAAAATACTTTACTTAGTTAATATTCTCCACCCTTTGGTAAAAAATCTAATTTTATGGAAAATTAGCAAAAATTCAAAAAACCGAATTTCTTAAAATTCAACATTTTTCCTTATTTTTTATGGCATTTAGCTTCATTATTTTTGTGCTTTTAAAAAATACTTTACTTATTTAATACTCTCCACCCTTTGGTAAAAAATCTAATTTTATGGAAAATTAGCAAAAATTCAAAAAACCGAATTTCTTAAAATTCAACATTTTTTCTTCTTTTTTATGGCATTTAGCTTCATTATTTTTGTGCTTTTAAAAAATACTTTACTTAGTTAATAGTCTCCACCCTTTGGTAAAAAATCTAAATTTATGGAAAATTAGCAAAAATTCAAAAAACTGAATTTCTTAAAATTCAACATTTTTTCTTCTTTTTTATGGCATTTAGCTTCATTATTTTTGTGCTTTTAAAAAATACATTACTTAGTTAATAGTCTCCACCCTTTGGTAAAAAATCTAAATTTATGGAAAATTAGCAAAAATTCAAAAAACTGAATTTCTTAAAATTCAACATTTTTTCTTCTTTTTTATGGCATTTAGCTTCATTATTTTTGTGCTTTTAAAAAATACTTTACTTAGTTAATAGTCTCCACCCTTTGGTAAAAAATCTAATTTTATGGAAAATTAGCAAAAATTCAAAAAACTGAATTTCTTAAAATTCAACATTTTTTCTTCTTTTTTATGGCATTTAGCTTCATTATTTTTGTGCTTTTAAAAAATACTTTACTTAGTTAATAGTCTCCACCCTTTGGTAAAAAATCTAATTTTATGGAAAATTAGCAAAAATTCAAAAAACTGAATTTCTTAAAATTCAACATTTTTTCTTCTTTTTTATGGCATTTAGCTTCATTATTTTTGTGCTTTTAAAAAATACTTTACTTAGTTAATAGTCTCCACCCTTTGGTAAAAAATCTAAATTTATGGAAAATTAGCAAAAATTCAAAAAACTGAATTTCTTAAAATTCAACATTTTTTCTTCTTTTTTATGGCATTTAGCTTCATTATTTTTGTGCTTTTAAAAAATACTTTACTTAGTTAATATTCTCCACCCTTTGGTAAAAAATCTAATTTTATGGAAAATTAGCAAAAATTCAAAAAACTGAATTTCTTAAAATTCAACATTTTTTCTTCTTTTTTATGGCATTTAGCTTCATTATTTTTGTGCTTTTAAAAAATACTTTACTTAGTTAATAGTCTCCACCCTTTGGTAAAAAATCTAATTTTATGGAAAATTAGCAAAAATTCAAAAAACTGAATTTCTTAAAATTCAACATTTTTTCTTCTTTTTTATGGCATTTAGCTTCATTATTTTTGTGCTTTTAAAAAATACTTTACTTAGTTAATAGTCTCCACCCTTTGGTAAAAAATCTAATTTTATGGAAAATTAGCAAAAATTCAAAAAACTGAATTTCTTAAAATTCAACATTTTTTCTTCTTTTTTATGGCATTTAGCTTCATTATTTTTGTGCTTTTAAAAAATACTTTACTTAGTTAATAGTCTCCACCCTTTGGTAAAAAATCTAAATTTATGGAAAATTAGCAAAAATTCAAAAAACTGAATTTCTTAAAATTCAACATTTTTTCTTCTTTTTTATGGCATTTAGCTTCATTATTTTTGTGCTTTTAAAAAATACTTTACTTAGTTAATATTCTCCACCCTTTGGTAAAAAATCTAATTTTATGGAAAATTAGCAAAAATTCAAAAAACAGAATTTCTTAAAATTCAACATTTTTTCTTCTTTTTTATGGCATTTAGCTTCATTATTTTTGTGCTTTTAAAAAATACTTTACTTAGTTAATAGTCTCCACCCTTTGGTAAAAAATCTAAATTTATGGAAAATTAGCAAAAATTCAAAAAACTGAATTTCTTAAAATTCAACATTTTTTCTTCTTTTTTATGGCATTTAGATTCATTATTTTTGTGCTTTTAAAAAATACTTTACTTAGTTAATAGTCTCCACCCTTTGGTAAAAAATCTAAATTTATGGAAAATTAGCAAAAATTCAAAAAACTGAATTTCTTAAAATTCAACATTTTTTCTTCTTTTTTATGGCATTTAGCTTCATTATTTTTGTGCTTTTAAAAAATACTTTACTTAGTTAATATTCTCCACCCTTTGGTAAAAAATCTAATTTTATGGAAAATTAGCAAAAATTAAGAAAACTGAATTTCTTAAAATTCAACATTTTTTCTTCTCTTTTATGGCATTTAGCTTAATTATTTTTTTGATGTTGCAAATTTCTTACTTTACATACTGATCTTTAAATAAAAAACTTTAATAGCTTTCCCTGTAAAGCGTGCTTAAAGATTAAAAATCACTATTTTTTTAGAAAAAAGTTGATATAAAAAATCGAAAGTTAATATTTTTTAATCGGATAAGGCTATGATTTTAAGTTACGTTAATACCTGATAGACTGCCAAATTTCACTTTAATTGGTTAAACCGTTTTCAATTAATGCGCGTACAAAGTTTTGCATACTGACAGACAGACAGAAATTTTTTTTTTACATTTTTCGAATTCTAATGAATCAAGACGAAAAGATATATAAAAATTTTCAAGTTTGGAGCAATGTACAGACAGAAGCCTTATTTTATTAATATAGATTTTAATTTAAAACACTAAAAAAATATATAATAAATTCTAATCGAATTTCTCGAAAAACGTAATTATTCTGAGAAATTTTATTAAAATTTGTCATTAATTGTCAATTATTTAAATATTTGTTGATAAAATTCTTTGTTAGAATTCAATTTTAAGAAAAAATTGAATAAATAAATTACTTCTTTGTATTTAAATAATTGACTTCTCGTTGAATTTTTTAATAAAACCCTGGACAGAAGAAATTTTCTTTTTACTTTGGCAGATGATATTTTTACTATTCTTATTGTATTAGAAACGATTTTTTCCTTTTTGTTTCAGGTTGTTGATAATCACGTCATTAAATATACTCCACCAGAACTTTTTAATCCAAAAATAGGAAAACCAAGAATTCAAGTTAAAAAACATTTGGGTTGCCTAATAGTCGGAGCTGTCTCCACTGATCCTCAATTTGTATGCAATTTCTTTTCTTCGAGAATTTTTCTCTATTTTGCTAAATATAAAACCAATTTTAATGTTTCTTTTTTTAGTTGACAAAAGATTACAGTGATTTGTTCGAAAGATCTGGTGTTATGCCTAAGAAAGCGTTGGCAAGATTTAAGATAACTGCAGATGCTGCACTACAGCCAGGAACACCTCTTTATGCCACTCACTTCAAACCCGGAGATGTTGTGGACATTAGAGCAAAAACGTAAATTAAATTTGAATAATTTTTGTTATTAAAATATAAATGAAATATAATAATACTCTCCACAATTTTAATAAAATTTAAAGAAAGAATTGAAAAAATTTTAATAAAATTCTTTGAAACGATTCAATTATTTTCAAAAATATTAAGAAAGCTTTTTCGCTAGAATTCAATTATTTTAACAAATAATGAAATTCTTGGTTGAAATTCAATTATTTTGAATATCTAATATTTAAGTAAAATTTATCAAAAAGAATTCAATTATTTTAGAAAATTTTAATAAACTTTTTCGAAAAGTTCTATTATTTTCATAAAAAATAAAATTCATTGCAATAATTTAATTATTCATTTTTAATTTTAATAAAATTCTTCGACAGAATTTATTTATTTTCAAAAATTTAATAATAATTCTTCGAAAGAATTTAATTATTTTCAAAGAAGTTAATAGAATTTTTTAACAAAATTGAGTCATTTACATAAATTTTAGGAAAATTCAATAATTATAAAAAATTTCAATAAAATTCATAAAAAGAATTCAATTATTTATAATTTTTTAATACAATTTCTTAATAGAATTTAATTGCTTTAACAAATTTATTTTTATATTCTTATAATTAAATTCTCGTAGAACTTTCTAAAAAAAATTAATTTCGAAATGAATTTAATTAAAAATTTTAGATAATAATTGAATTTTAAAAATCATCATTCAAAAATTGATGTTTATTCTTGAGAATATAAAATTTTTTTATTTACCAAATCTTTTGCTATAGTTTAGTTTAATGAAATGAAATTATTTTTTTATTTTTAATAGAATATAATAATAAATTTATAATTAATGTAATAATAATTTCATAATAAAATGAAAACATTTTTTTTCTACTTCAGAGTTGATCGAGGATTTCAGGGAGTCATGAGACGCTGGGGTTTTAAAGGACAACCCGCGACTCATGGTCAAACTAAAACTCATAGACGACCTGGAAATATTGGCTCAGGTGGTGAGAGAGGAGTTATACCTGGCACTAAAATGCCCGGTCACATGGGTAACAGATACCGTGTCTTGAGAGGCATTCAGGTGAAAAATTAAACTATGTCATTAAAATTATTAATCCACAAAAAGATTAAAGTGGAAAATTTTATCAAGAAATTTGTCAAATAATTTACAATTGTTTAAAATTTTTTCACATTTCAGATTTTAAGGATCAATACAAAATTTAATGTACTCTTTGTTAGGGGTACTGCCATACCTGGAGAAATAAATAATATAATTCAAATTTTCGATACTAAATTATTAAGAAGGAAACACAAAGAAGCGCCTGCTTTTCCAACATATTTCCCAACTGGCGATGAACCTGAAGAACTTTACATGGACGAGATGCATCATTTTGGTGAAGCTACAATCGAATTCGAAGAACCACAACAACAAACAAAAAAGAAATAAAGAAAATTTTGTTCCATATAAATAAATAAATAAATAGATTTTTAAATATAAAGAATCGATTGTCTAATTTCATTTCTACTTTGACTTTCATTTTCCAGGGTTGCCTCAAGTCAGGGAAATCATGGAAATGCGGAAAATGTTAGAGAATGTAAGAAGTACTGGAAAAATAAAAATACTTTTAGAATTAGTACAAAAATTCTGATTTTTGAAGTTCAAAACTATTCTAGAAAAGAAATTGAAAACTGAATTCAACAATAAATTTTTCTCACTTGGCTTTTTATTTTCGAAAATAATTAAATTCTAGAACAACTTTCCTAATATTAATTTAACTTAACTCGACTTAACTTTAGTTAAAAACAGTTGCAAATTTCATAAATAATTGAATTTCAGGTTTTAAACTGAAATTTTCGAAAAATTTTAATTGATGTGAAGGAATCATTTTTATTTAATTTAAACCAATTCAATAAATTATTGTGAAGAAATTAATAATAATTATTTACTTAAAAAATAATTTAAGTTGGAAATACCTTCTTTTATCAAATTAATTAAAACTTTGTGAAATCGAATTTAAAATAATTAATTTTGTTGAAGAGTTACATTAGAATTTCAAAAAAAAATTAATTTTCAAATATCAACTTCAATTTTTTAATAATAGGCTTAATTCAAAATTTTTTAAATTCACTTCAATAATTGATTATTATTATTATTTATTGTTTTCTAAATTTAAATAAAATTATTCGAAAGAATTAAATTATTTCATAAAAATTTTAATAAAATTCAACTCTATCAGATTTTTAAATACAAATATTAACAAACACGACTGTTTTTAAAACTAGCAAGTAATTTTTTGTAAAATTCAATTACCTAAAAATTTTCAATTAAAATTGAAGAAAAAACTATTATTTTCAAAAAATTCAAAGAAATTCTTCAAAACAATTCAATTATTTTCAAAAAATTCAAAGAAATTCTTCAAAACAATTCAATTATTTTCAAAAATATTAATTGAATTCTTAATAAGAATTCAATTACTTTAAAATTAAATATAATTTTAATAAAATTTGTAGAAGGAATTTAATTATTTGTTAATTTTAAAAAATTATTAAATTATTGATAATAATTAAATTAAATTATTTTCAAAAATATTAATTAAATTCTTCGTATGAATTCAATTGTTTTAATACAATTTTAATAAAATTAGTAGAAAGAATTTAATTTTTTTTTTTTTAATTTTAAGAAAGTTGTTCGAAAGAATTAAATTATTTTCAAAAATATTTATTAAATTCTTCGTGACAATTCAATTATTTTCATAAATCATAAAATTCTTTGCAGGAATTCAATTATTCTCGATGCGATTTTAATAAAATTTCTCTAATTTTCTCTTTTAAATTCAATAATTTGAACAATTTTTTTTTTAATTTGTAAAAAAATTCAATTATTTTTAACAATTTTTATAAAACTTCCTATAAAAATGGAATTATTTTCAATTTAATTTTAAGAAATTAAAATTAAATTAAATTTTTTTTGAAAATAATGTTTCTTTTAAATTTTTGAGTAATTGAATTTTTTGAAAAATTACTTTCTAGTTTTAAAAATAGCCGTGTTTGTCAATAATTATTGTAATTAAAAATATAAGTTGAATTTTATTAAAATTTTTAAGAAATAATTGAATTCTTTCAAAGAATTTATTATTAATATTGTAATGAAAATAATTCATTCTTTTCGAGGAATTAAATTTAGATTGTATTAAAAATAATTCAATTCTTATAAGAAGAATTTAATAATTTTTTTAAATTAACAAGTAATTTTTAAATTCTTTCTTCAAATTTTATTAAAACCGAATTTAAGATAATTGAAATCCTGTGAAGCATTTAATTATTTATGAAAATAATTGAATTCTTGTGAACTATTTTATTAGAATTTTTGAAAATAATTGAATTTTCAAGAAGAAATTTATTGCTTTTAAAAATAATTGAATTCTTGTGATGATAATTGTTATTTATGAAAATAATTGAATTCTTTTGCGAAATTTTATCAAAACACTACCTAGATTTCTCGAAAGAATTTAATTATTTTCAAAAATTTTAATAAAATTCTTTGAAACAATTCAATTAATCGCAATTATTTTCAAAAGAATTTTGATTTATTGAATACAATTATTTTTTAAAGTTTTGATAAAATTCTTCGAAAGAAGATATATTTATTTATTATTACTTCAGAGTTTATTGACTAAGGTTTGATAAAATTCTTTACAATTCAATTTTTATTTTCTCTTTCATTTTCACTTTGATAAATTTTTGTGTTTACTTTCACTTCAATAGATTTTTATTTTCACTTATTTGATAGTGAAAATATCAAAGTGAAAATATAAATCTCTCAAGATGAAAGTAAAAGTTAATATGAAAGTGAAAATAGAAATGAAACTGTACAATTAATCCCCAGACTGCAATAATTCAGATAAATAATTTCCAAAGTCAGAAATAACAAATAGGGTTTAATAAACAAAAAGAAAAATAAACAGCCAATCATTGTCAAATGTAAGCTACATTTTATTGTTGCTGCTCTTTCTTACAGAACGTTCGTTATTATTAATTAATTATTCTACTATAGAGTAGTCAATCGATTTATTTAGTAATCAATATTATAAATTTAACATGCCTAAAATATACACGAATTGTTTATAAATGTAACATTCTGAACCAAGACTCGACTCCGAATTAGAGTAGAGAGCAGCTTGTGCAAGCACAAAAAAAAATAAAATTTTTTTTTTGTTTTTACTTTCGTATGTTACGTTTTTTTTTTTAAATAAAAAAAGTTTTCTTTCTTTTCTCTAAAGGCATTCAAATATCGACTACAGTAAATTATCCACCTTACGGTAGCGAAACGTAGACTTAAGAAACTTCCATAATTTTATCTTTTTCTTTTTTTTTTTAATTTAATTTAATTTTCTTAAGGACATCGCTTCGCGAATCCTTTGACTCCCAAGTCGAACAATGCTGCCTTGAATTATGTTCGGACTGCAATTCGTACGCATTGCAGATTTTAAAAATATTCGCAGGAAAAAAATAGACAACAATAAATGCTTTTTTTATTATCTTAAAAAATGAAAAATAATTTAAACTTCATTCACAGCAGCATCTTGTTAAGACTTGTTTCTTTTTATATGTATACACAAATAAAAAATAAAAATATGTCGTGTATAAAAGACTTTGGAAGAGAAAACAAAATAGTTTTTCTGTTTTTTTTCTGATTAGTCGCTCCTTTTTTTATTGTTTTATTGCTCTCTCTCGCTCTTTCTTCTTCTTCTTTTTCTTCTTTTTTTTTTATTCGAAACACGACAATTGAAGATAGTTTTGTGTTTTTATATCTTCTTGTTTCACTGATACCTTTGGTCCTTAAAAATCCAAGTTCTTGGTTCAATTACTGCATAGCGACGGCGCCGCGGTTCTTCTTTTTTTTTTCTTTTTTGATCGTATCAGATGGGAGTCATTGGAAAAAGGATAGTATGGGTTTTTTTTCGGGGAAGCAGAATGGCTCCGTGATGGAGTTTGTCAAGGGACGGCACAATCCAATAGGAAACACGTAGCCTCTCAGAATTGGAATCCTTCGTTTGGAATTTTTGGTTGCACATCAAATTGGTATGATGATTCTCCTAGTTGTGGTGCAACGTTCACGTCGTCCGCCTGAAAGAAATGTAGAGTAGAATTTAAAATATAAAATCGTTTGTAAAAAAAATAAGTAAATAAATCAGGGTTGCCACTAAAAAATATTCTGATTCACTATAAAAATTATTAGATACTATCATACATGGTGCCTACTATTTTCATTCAACAAAATTCACAGATTTTTCTCGGCTTTGCTCTAATTTTTTTCCCGGTTTTTTTTTCTCATAAAATTTAAATTTATTTGATTTCGAACATAAATAAATCAACAAATGGCTTCCAAAATTTTTATTAGAGTTTTTATGAATAATTAAATTCTTTTGACGAGTTTCTTGAAATTTTTTTAAAATAATGTTTTTTTAATAATTTTAATTAAAAATTTGGAAAATAATCACTGAATTCTATAACATTGAGTCTAAATTTTATGATTACACTTTGAAAAAGATTTCAAAAAAGTAAAACTTGTTTATTTTTTATTATAAAAAGTTGAAAAAGGGGACAAATTAGCAAAAAAAAGGGGGGAAAGGTGATAAAATTAAAATAAGATGGCAAAAGGGTCACATCTGTGATACCTGTAAAAGAAATTTTTGAAAGAGAAAGAAAAATTGTCTCACCTCTTCTGCGAAATATTGCTCAATAATATCGTACGCCAATTTGTAAATATCTACGTTCTCGTGATTTTGTAGGGCCTCAATCTTATCAAGTCCAGAACATTCTTCAATCATATTGGCCAATTGTTCCACTTGGGCACCGGCGAGCTTGAGCATATTATGAATTCCGTCGAGTACAACTTGCACGACTTGTGTGTCTTTACACGAAAGGAGATCACAGAAAGGCGAAATCACTCCTTCTTGAATGAGTCGTGAAACTTGTTCCCTGGTTCCGCTTATCGTCAAATTACTAATTGCCCATGCGGCTTCCTTTTGCGTTTGGAATTCTCCCTGAAAACATATTTTTCCACATTAGTACTTTCCGTCGTAGTTTTAATAAACTAATTATCAAATTTTCAATTTATCCAATTACCATTTAATCAAATTTTCAATTTATCAAATTTCCATTTAATCAAATTTTCAATTTATCAAATTTCCATTTAATCAAATTTTCAATTTATCAAATTTTCATTTTATCAAATTTTCAATTTAGAGGTTTTTATCAAATTTCCATTTAATGAAATATTCAATTTAGAGTTTTAAATTGATGATCAGCTCCGAGAATAATACTCACCTTGGACAAATTGCGAATGATGTGTGGTAAGAGTCCAGCATCGATAACAGCCTGGACTTGTGTTTGATTTCCGGCGGTGATGTTCGATAAGAACCAAACGGCTTCTTTACAAATTTTCTCCTTTGGATGCGTCAGCAAATTTGTGAAATGAGACAATGCGTCACAATTCAGGACAACTTGCGTTTGCTCATCAGTTCCAGTGACAATATTACCAACTGCTCTGAGCGCTGCGGTTTGCACTTTGACTTCCTTGTGTGACAAAAGTGGAATTAATCGTGGAACAACGCCACTGTCAATGACCAATTGTATTTGTTCATTACCGCCGTCAGTCAAATAACTTAACGCCCAAACCGTGTCAACGAGAATCTGCAATTAAATTCAATTTTAGTAAACTAAAAAAGATAATAACAAAAGAAAATCGAAAAGAAGCAAAAAAAAAAACGAAAAGAAGCAAAAAAACGAAAAAAAACAAACAAAAATGGAGAGAAAAGAAAAAGTGAAAAAGAATGAAAAAAATTGTCTGATTTTTAAATAAAAATTTTCGAAAACTCACATTGATGTCCGTGTGATGAATCAACATATTAAGGGCGGGAAGTATGTCCTTAATTGTTTGAACAGGAGGCGGAGGATCTTTATTTCGACATAAATTGACAATAACCCAGGTGACATTGCGAAGGAAAGTGAGTGGTATATCTGGCTTAATAAACGTAAGCAATGGTTGTACAACACCAAGACTGATCACATAATCTCGTGGAACTGGACCATCTCCAATAATATTTCCTATAATGAACAAAAAAAGTCAAGACTTCAATTTTCCTTTCAAATTCAAATTTCCAAACCAAATTACGATTGAACGGAATTTTTTTCCAAAATTACTTTTAATCAAACCTACCACTTTTTCATTTTAAAAACGGAAAAAAGGGCTTTCTAACAATAACAATCATGTTTTCTTATATAATTAAAATTTAGGGCATAAACATTGAAAAGAAGATCAAAAATTGTAAACTCTCAAGTAATTTTTGAAAAAATTTTTTCTAATTATGCTTTTAGAGAATATTTAATTTTAGATCGAATGAGATCTTTTAGATCAGAATTCGTTAAAAACTAACTGCAGAGTTGCTACAGTATCAATTTATTTAAATTCCATGACAAATTGTAAAATTGTTTCAATAAATTTTTATCTTATTTTACGCTAAAGGATGACATCATTCACCAATTTAATTAATAATAGTCAGTTTAACAAGTTAATTTTTTGTCCTTCTTTTCCCTGAACATTACAATTCAGTTTTTTTTCTATAATTTTTAACTAAAATTCATCTCTAAATCAATTATTTTTAATAATTTTTGAAAAAGTTCGTTGTTTTTGAAAATTTTGAAAAAATTGAATTGCTTTGAAGAATTTTTGAAAGTAATTGTAAATTCTTACGAGGAATTCAATAAATTATAATTTTTATTGACAATAATTGAATACTTATAAGAAATTTTATAGAAATTTTTGAAAATAATTGTATTCATCTAAAGAATTTTATTATTTATCAAAAAAATTGAATTTTTGCAAAGAATTTTAAAAATTTATTTAAAAAAATTGAATTCTTTCGAGAAACTTTATTGTAATTGAATTCCTGCGAAGATTTTTTTATTGATAAAAATAATTGTCGTCTTGCAAATTTTTTCGACGAATTTAATTAAAATTGAATTTAAAATAATTGAATTTTGGAGTGATTGATATCTTCAAGTTTTTTAATAATTAAAGATGACCTAGAGATAAAATCATTATTTTATATTATAAGAATTATCTACTGTAACTTCTTCAAAATTATTTTCATCACTTCAATTCAATTATTATTTTCTACAATTTTTAACTAAAATTCTAAAAATAAATAAATTCTTCTCTAAATCAACTATTATTAATCATTTTTGAAAAAATTCTTTCAGAATTTTCAAAATCATTTGTTTACAATTCAATTTTAAGTGAAATTTAGATCATTTGGAAATTCTTCAATTAAATATATATTAGAAATTAAAAACTTCAAATATTTTCAAAAAAATTCAATTAAACTTTTTCGAAAAAATTAATTCTATAAAGAATTTTTTGTTAAAAATATGAAAAATTCAAATCTTTCAAAAATTTTAATTTGAAACCTTTTCAAAATTAAATTATTTCTAAAAATTCATCATATAGATCTTTTTATTCAATTATCTAAAATTTAAATTAAAATTTATTTTTAAATCAATTATTTAAATAAAAAAATCATTTATTGAATGACTGAATGTTTCTTAAAATTCAATTTTCATAAAGAAGTTTATCAACAAATTTTTAAATAATTAAATTCTTTCAACGAATTTTAATAAAATTTTTAATAATTACGTTTTTTGAGAAATTCAATTAAAAATGTTTTAAAAATTATAGAAATTCTGCAATAGTATTATTTATGAGAATAATTGAATTCTTGTAAAAAATTTTATTATTTATGAAAATAATTGAATTCCTGTAAAAAAATGTTATTATTTATGAAAATAATTGAATTGTTACGAAGAAATTCATAAAAAATTTGTAAATAATTGAATTCTTGAAAAATTTTTATTATTTATGTAAATAATTAAATGTTTGCGTAGAATTTTATTACAGTTTTTTTCAAATAATTGATTTTTTTTGGAAAATTTTAATAAAATAGTAGGTATTGGAAATCATTGAATTGAGGGAAATTTTGTAAATAATTGAAATTTTGTCGAGAATTTTATTAAAATAATTGAATTTCAGAGAATTTTTTTATTTATAAAGATAATAATTGGGATTATGTCGAGATTTTTTTTTTGTAAATTTTGAACATAATTGAATTTCAGTGAAAAATTTTGTTATCTTTTGAAAATAATTGAATTTCTGCAATTATTTGTAACTTCTTCAAAATTCAATTTTTTTAAAGTGCTTTTACCTAAAATTCTTCTATGAGTTCATTATTTTTAATAATTAATTTCAGAAGAATTTGAATTATTAAAATTTTTCAAAAGTCTATTAAAATTTCTAATTAAATTCATTCAAAATTGAAATTTTATAAAATTTTAAATTGAAACCGTTTAAAGTTCATTTATTTATGAAAATTGTAAACACAACTCTTTTAAAATTCAATGAATGTTGAAATATTTAAGTAAAATTATGAATTAAAAAATTTATAACAAATAATTTTATAATAGTTCTTCAAAAATTAAGTTATTTAAGGTCATGTTATTCAGTGGTCACGTGCCCCATAGTAAAATATATGGAGCACGTGACCACTGAATAACATGACCTTAAATAAAATTATTATCAGAAATAGAAAAAATTAAAGGTTTTGCATTAGAATTCGTGGTAATTTCATAATTTTAAAGCAAACAAGACACAAAAATTCAGAAATTTTTTTATGAATTCTAAGAATTTAATTTTTTTCAATACTTTTAATAAAATTTCTTGATTTTTTCCTGACTTCCCTGACCTGTGGCAACTCTGTATTTGTATTTTTTTTTTTTTTTACTTTTTCAGAACGAAAAATTGGGGTTGGTCCGCTTAAAAGTAATTTTCCTTTTTTTTAGTAAAACTAATTAATAAAATTTTACCTAAAGCCCAAACAGCCTGTTCGCATACATTCTGTTGACTCGAGAGTAAAAGATGTAAAAAGAGAGGGACGGCACCGGCCGCAACAACTGCCTGCGTTTGAGCAGATGTTCCACTGGCAATATTCGTGAGGGCCCAGGCTGCTTCGAATTGCAAAGATGGACTGGAATTTTTCAAAATCAGTCGAAAATTAGAAATTTGGGCCATAAAATGTATAAACAAAAAGAAAATCAAAATGAAAAATTCTAGTATTGTAAATGTTTAATTTAGATTATTAATATTTTTTTTAACCTTACCTATCGTGTTGTTCCAAACAACGAACTAATATTGGCAGAATACCACTTTCTATTAACGGATCAATTGGTGGATTACGATCTGAAGAAAGTAATTTTCTTGCTGATTGTACGGCTAATAATTGCTCCGCTGGATCTGCACTTCCAGCTTTCATAACTAATTCCTCGAGGTTCATTTTTGACAATTGTTTGTCAATGTCATCTTCATCTGGAAAGAAACAATTTATCAATTTTCATCCACTTTTGCCGAGAAAACAATCATTTAAATCCAATTTACCTGTGGAATCTGTTACCGGAACGTTTCTTCTCTTCTGAAGTGTTTCATCTCGTTTATTTTTTCTAAGTTCGACTGTAACCTCATTTCTTCTTCTTCGCATTTCCTGCAGAAAAAAACAAATTTTCAAATATTTAATAAACAAAATTAAAAAATTACTATTAACAAATAAGATTGAAAAAAATCTTGAAAAAATAATTCAAAAACAAAATTACCTTTTCAAAACGAAATTATTACAATAAATTTTGAAATTTAATGGAGTTGATGAATTGATAGAAAAGCGGAAGAAGTGATTCATGAAATATAATGCATAAATCTAGAAGTTTTTATTTTTTGCAAATTTTCCAAAGTAAGGGAACAATACCAACCAACGATGGGATAAAATGAAGAAATTTTTTTTAAATTTTCGAAAACAAATAAGAAAATTATAAAAACAACAAAAATACTTACATCTTGGTCCTTGCCTTTGTTCTTGAATACCATAAAGCGATTCTTCTGCGAGTCAGACGCCATTTTTACAATAACCAATGTTCTCGTGTCTTAACGTCGTTTAATGAGCCGGTAAATAAATCTATTTTTCAGCAAATGTCTCGTTACAATAATTTTTTTTACCTTTTATTTCAATAACAGCATTCCGTTAGCGTGACAATTTTATTAAAACATCAATATGCAAAAATCATGCATAACAAAAAATTGAGAGAATTTCCAACACACACTGTGGTAATAGAATCGATCACGTTTCGACGCGCGAATTGCTTTATTATTTCACTGGGAGAAGTTTGTGGAGAAATAAAAGTTAATTAGTATTAGAAATAAATACTATTACACGATGAATTTACACTGAAAAAGCAAAGCTCAATTATAACATTTGATTTTTTTGTTAAATCACTTTGAGCAATTCGGACGCATATGGCCGTTGTGAACTCAAGAACACGAGGCTGAATCCCAACCCAACTACGGATCCTTAAACACTAATACTGCGCATGTATTGGTTCAAGACAAGATATTATTCACTGATTCAAGCCACCTTATTGGTTACTCTTGGCGCTTTTTTATTAATGACAATTTTCTCCAACCAACCATTTAGCGTTGTAATATTTTTGTACAAATTTTAACACGACCGAATGTTTATTCGTTAATTTGGTAATTTGACTTTTCTTTCGTTAAATTCATTTGTTTTTAAAATGGCGGCGAACTTAAAGGGGTATTCACATTTTTCGCGAGGCAACTTTAAGCTCTGTTCATGATAAACCGAACGCACCCTCTGCCCTTTTTTCTATTTTTTAAATATTCTTTCTTGTTTTGTTTAAGTACTTGACGAATTTGTTTCTATTCTTCTTTCTAAATTGTCTAATATGTGTTTAATAATGAAAATACTAAATAAACATTATTTTTAGTAATTTATTTTTCGTTTTCAAAAAAAGGAACAACCAATAGAATGACTAGTTCCGGACATGCGCTGTTGTCCGTTTTTCTTGTCGTCTGCTAATTCAAAATGTTTTTCTCGCTGGGTGTTTCTTCGGTTTCGAAATTATTGTTTGAAACACCTCAATTAGTCGGAAATGGAGTAAGTAACAAAGTATTTACTGTCTAATTACCAGCTACTATAGAGAAATATAATTGAAAAGTCACGTTTTACTTTATTTTATGAGAAAATGACAAAAAATCGAAAACTAACCTCATTTTGAATCTATATTATTAAAATGTATTAAATCTATTATTTACTTTAAAGTTTAAAATATTATCAGAATTTAGTTTTTAATCATTTTTTTAATAGAATAGAATTTATTTCTTGATGCTACAAATTTTGTTTTATATCTCTTACAACCTTAATCATTTTTTAATAATTATTTTCGTTGCAATTCTAATGTTATTGTAAAATATTCGAAAATTACAGGCCTCTGATATTATGACTTTTTCGACTTAATTTCAAAAATTGAGACTTTTCCGAGTTTCCTTCTAAATATTGCAACAAAATACCAAAATTTTTAGTATCAATTGCAAATTATTTCGATTTTTCTAGTGTGAAAAATAACTATAGACAAATTTCAATAATTATTTTTGTATAATTTTTCTAATATTAAATTTTCGAAACATACAATTTAAAAGATTTGGAATAATTGAAATTCTGTAAAATTTAATTAAAAATAATTGATTTTTTTCAAGTATTATTATTACAATTTTTGAAAATCAACTTTTGAAGAAATTTAATTGCAAAACTTTGTGAAAATAATTGAAATCTCAAAAAAATTTAATGAAAAACCTTTAAGTGTAAATTTATATAAAAGAAAATTAATAAAAACTAGCTTCTAAAAAAGAATATTAAAATTTTGTTTCAAGAAGTAATTCTTAGAATCTTTTTCATTATAAATTTTTAAAATTCAATTATTTTCAATATTTTCAAAAAAATAATTCCGAAAATTCAAATACATAGGTACAAAAAGTAATACAAACATTAAAATTTTTCAGAATTATTTTGAATACAATTTTAATAAAATTTCATAAAATAATTCAATTTTTTTTTAATTTTCAATATTTTTCGAAAAAATATTAACAATATTTTTCAAATATTTTCTAAAATTTTAATAAATCCTTCTAAGCAATTCAATTGTTTTTTAAAGTTTAAAAAAAAATGTTTCGAAATAAACCAATTATTTTGTAAAATTTTAATAAATCCTTTAAAACAATTCAATTATTTTTAAAAGGAGTAAAATTCATCGCAAGAGTTAAATTATTTTTTATAAATATTAAAAAATTCCTCTAAGGAATTTAATTATTTTCAATACAATTTTAATAAAGTTCAATAATAAATTAATTATTTTCTATATTTAAATAAAATTCCTTGATTTTACCAAAACTCAATTGTTTTAAAAAGATTTTATCAAATTTCAATTATTTTTTAAAAATTTTACCAAAATTCAATTGGTTGAAAATTTTTTAATTGTATATATAATTGAAAGACTATTATCTTTAAAAAATTATTTACAAATATTTTCAAAAGATTAATTTTAAGAGTTTCTTTATTATAATTTTTTAAAAATATTATTTACTTTAAAAAAACATGGGCAATAATTACAATTATAAGATAAAATTTTTGTTGCAACACTAAATTAAATAAGTCGAATTTTTTGACTTTTTATTGTATTTTTAATCGACTAAAGCGACTTTTTTGTGTCTTAAAGTCGATCCGTGGCCTTGAAATTATGAAAAGTTTGTAATATTAATTTAATAATTTGATTTTCATTAAAAGGTCCAACAAGTTCGGAACTATTGGAGTAAAGCATTAACAAGGAGAGATATGAAGAGGAGAAAATTAGCCAAAGAATTTGCACCAACTCGTTTACGTCTCGTTTGTATAAAAAGATGTAAATTATTACCACAAGAAATTAGGGTAAGTATGATAAAATATTTTCATTTAATTTTAATTTGCATACGAGATTTTCTGAATTTTCTTTTTTAAAAACAGGATTGTGCTAGTAAGGATTTTGATTTTGTACCACGACAATCGGCATTGAGGCAATTAACAGGACGATGTGTTGTAACTTCACGTCCTCGTGGTAATCTTATGAGATGGAGATTATCACGATTCATATTCCGTGATGCGGCGGATCATAATCAACTTTCCGGAGTTCAACGTGCCATGTGGTGATTGAAACTTTATAAATTCAAATTTCCAAACTATGTTTTGTAGAAAAGTCCTGAAATGTTAAAGTAAGTTTATAAAAATAATAAAAATTATACCATTAAGTTAAAAAGTTTATTATTCAATTACTAATTTGGAAAAATTTCCTTTTTTAGTATTTTTTATATTTACTTTATTTTATTTACATATTTACAGTTAATATTTTCCCGATAGAATTTTATTTTTTTTTTAAATTCTTATAAAATTCTATACAAGAAATAAATTATTTCAGATTCAAAATTATAAAAAAAACTACAAAAAGTTTCAAAATTTTAAAAATTGAAGGTCTAGTAAATTTGAAATTACAATACGATTTTAATCAAATTTCTCGAGAAATGTAATTATTCTTTAAAATTTTATTAAAATTCGTCGAACAATTTTAATTGTTTAAAATTTTAGAGAATAATATTAAATATTAAAAGTATTATAGCGTGAATTTTTAGAAATAATTGAATTTTGAAATGGTTTTAAATTTAAATCTTTGAAAATCTTAATTCTTATGGAAAAATAATAATGATTTAAATATTTGTTTATAAGAGAAGTTATTGATTTTTTTCGAATAATTTTACAATTAAAGAAATTCGTAAATAAATGTATTAGAACATTTTTTTTTTGCATCTAATAATTTTTCGAGTGAATCAGAATATTCTTTACGCTCAGGGAAAAAGTCAAAATTTAATCTCTAAATCAGAGAAAAGTTAGGGAAAAACAAAATTAAATTTTTATTTTATTGTTTATTTAATTTACATATTTACAGTAATATTTTTCCGATAGAATATAATTTTTTTGCGAGAAAACTTGGAATAAACACAGATTGCGTGATGCCGCATAATGTGAGTGGCTGATTAAATGATAAATATTCTTGTTATACAAAGTACTTATTATCCATAATTTTCTCGTTAAAGAGTTAATAATTTTCTGATAATCTACTTAATATTTAAAATAAAACTTAATATTTTTATACACAAATTTAATTTTTATTCTTATTCGATTAATTTACCTCACTCTTATAGAAATTGTGGAAAAGGCAAATTAGTGTTTTAATTTTGAAAATTGTTACATTTTGAGATTATGATTAATGAGAAAATTTATTGCAAACTCAGCAGCGTTTTTTGTTAAACACTAATTAATCAATTATACTAACTGATGGAAAAATGCTTTTCATTAAGTAACGAGACGAATTTAATTGACTTTCTATAAAGTAAATATTTAATTTTTATTAAATTGTGGTCGCGAGTCCGATTAGTTGTGATAAGGAAGAGCGCATGTGCTTAACTTTTATTAGTTTTTTAAAGTGATACCTCAGTCACCGTTTTCACTTACAAGAGAGCAGTTTTCAATTATTTGCCTAATTGTCGCGTTTTTCGATATTATTAATAACGTAAGTATAAGAAAAATAATTTATTAGTAAAATATTTTTATTTACTGTTCAAAACTTTCATTTTTTTTCTTTTCTATTTAGTTTTAAAATTACAACTGAAAGGTTTTAATTTTCACTAGTACAAAAAACAATTAATTATTTTGCAATTTGTAAATTATTTTAAATTACAATTTTTTAACAATAATATTTGTTAACATTTCTATAATATTAGAATTAGAAATTATTATTATTATTTTAATAATTTTATAATATTTATTCCTTTGCTTCATTCATCAGTTTCAGATTATACAAGATCGTTATTATAATAATTAATGGATTCACAGCAAAATAATAAATTTCATGTCGGTCTGGAAAAAATCTTCAAAGAGCAGAATTAATATTTTTTTAAAATACTGACTTATTTTTAATTTACATTATTTACCATTGGAGTTTTTAATTTAATTCTTTGGTATAATTTGGCAAACTTTGTTCGTCAATTTTTAGTGTAATTTGATTATTTTAATTTGAACATCAAATTTAAATATCGAATTCGAATAGTTAGTATAGAATGAAAAATTACTAAAAATGAAAAGTTTATCAATGAGAAAAAAGAGCGGGAAGGGAGTAAAAATTACTCCGGTGGATAAAAAAATGGTAATTAAGAAAGTTGAAATTGCGGTCGCCGATTCGTCGTCCAAAGATGGAAATAGTCGGAATAAGGTTTATCCATTTTTTAACGTTTCTGTTGAAAAAAAGGAGAACGACCAATTTCCTGAAAAATCTTTCATTAAACACAATTTACAATTGGAGAAAAGAATCGATTTCAAACGTGGCAATTCCGTGGAATCCCCGGTGAGTGAATTTGAATAATTTTATTTACAAATTGTTGATGTTCATAAATAAATAAATCAATAAATACTTTTACTAATTCTTTAATTCTTCATTAATTACTTTTAGCAATTATTTTACTCTTTATTAATTACTTTACTTTTTACTAATTCATTACTAATTTTTGATTACAGAATCCTGAATCGTTTGCAAATGCAATTGGTCTTGTTCTTTTGTTCTCACAATTTTTCGGCCTCTTACCAATATCAGGGATAAAATCGAATTTACCGGAAAAGTTCAAATTTATGAGAACATCACCAAGGACTATTTACACCTACATTGTAATTATTGGAAGTTTGATCATGTCTTTGATATGTTTGGTTCATATGGTGAAAACTTTAAACACCAGTTCCTTTAAAGTTCACGGTAAAGAAAAGTAATTTTACTTTTTATTTATTTTTTCAATTTTAATTCTCAGCATTCATTAGATTTGTTCTAATTTTTTTATTGTAAAAATAACGATTAGTAATTTTTTTCAGGAGGAATATCAGACGCTACAGTGGGAGCTGTATTTTATGGAAACAGTTTATTTGGAACAATTCTTTTTTTGAATCTCTCACCGGGATGGATCTCTCTTCAACAGGATTGGAGAGCAATGGAGGAATTTATTGATAAGTAATTATTATTCTATTACAACTTTTCACACTACAAGCCACGCGGTCATTTACTAAAATTTACTATGTATTTACCACTTTTTTACAATTTGATATTATTTGGATACTTTTTTTGGATTTTTGATACAAAAAAATACTTTTTTCTTTTTTTGTGGTAATTCTGAGATATTATGAATTATTTTATTAATTATTTATTTTTGTGTTTGAATAATTAAATACTCGTAGAACTTTCTGATAAGAATTGATTTAAAAAAGAATTTTAGTTCAAATTTCAGAAAACATTTCAAAAATTGACAGAATTGAAGTTCTAATTTTTAGAAATAATTTAATTTCAATAGGTTTTACATTGAAATTATTAAATAAAATGTATTTCCTGTGAAAAAATAAATAAAAATATGTATTTCAATATTTAACAAAAAATATTGATAGCTTCTTTCTCCTTTAATATTTAACTGCCGAATGATAAATTCTCTTTCTATAATTATAAAAAATATTGAAGTTTTAAATAATTGAATGCAGAAATTTAGAAAAAAATAGTTTTTTGAAAAATTATGAAAAAAAATGTTGTTTTAAATAAATTATTTTTAAATATAATCGAATTTTTGAAAAATTTTAACTAAAAATTTATAACTAGCGAGTGCAAAGTCTAAAATTATGTTTAGAATTATAGAATTTGTGAGTCTATATTTTATCTTCTAAATTATATTTATTAATTGCGAGAAATTTAATTTTTCAGAGGCAAAGGAGAAAGGCCGAAGTTGAGATGTAAATTTTCACTCATTACTGCTTCAATTTTTATTCCTGCTTTAATTGAACATATTCTCAGTGTGGTTTCGAATACACCTCCTGAAATTTGGGGAAATTCGACGTTTGACAAGTTTCTTCAAATTTACACTATAAAATCACATCCGTTTCTCGTAAAAAATGGTAAAAATTACAAATTATTTTTCATAAAATTACTATTAAATTGATTACTAAAAAATTAATAGTAATATTAATATTTAAAATTAAAATATTAATTACTAGAAATATTAATATTAATTAATACTAATCAAAATTTAATTACTATAACATTGATTAGATATTAAATTAATAGTTAATTAAATTAATTATTAATTACTCTATTAAATAAATAAAATAATAAATTAATTACCAAGAATTAAAAATGTTTCAGTTCCGTACAATTTTACTCTTGGTCTCTACACATTCGTATTGAGCAGAATTGCAACATTCACCTGGAATTTTACCGACGCTTTTATTATGCTGGTATGATTCATTAATCTATTTCCGAATTATAAATTAAACTGAATAAATTTTTTTCCTAATTTATTTACTATTTTTTAGGTTTCTACCGGTTTGGCTGAAAGGTACAAACAATTGAATAAAATAATTTCCAATAATACTTCTGGAACTTTCACGCCTGACGAATGGAAACAACTTCGAGAATATTACGCGATTCTCAGTACTCTAGTGAAAAAAGTCGATCAGAAAATATCATCAATTATCTTTCTGTCCTTCGTGAATAATCTCTATTTCATTTGTCTACAACTTCTCAATGGTCTTTCGTAAGTTCTCTTATTTTTTCTTTTTTGCAAAAAAAAAAAATAGAATATTTTAAATAAAATATCTCTAAGAATTGTAATCTAAAAAATATGTTGATTTCAGACTTCCTGATGACGGGAGAATTGTGAGTGTGATTTATTTTTTCGGTTCATTTTTCTTCTTAATTGGACGAACCGTTGCCGTAACTTTATTGGCGGCGAGAATACACGATCAGAGTAAAATTGCGTTACCCTATCTTTATAATTGTCCGCCTTCGACTTTCACTGGAGAGGTATAATAATAATAAAAATAAAAAAATAAACAAACAAATATCGAATGCATGTTTGAAAATTATAAGTCAGAAATAATTCTCCCATTGCAATTACTGTCACGATAGACATGTTTACATTGAATTTATTTTTTTCATTTGATTCAGGCTCAAAGACTTCAGGTTCAACTCACCACCGATGAAGTGGCCTTGACGGGATTACGATTCTTTTCAATTACAAGAAATTTCATGTTAGCGGTATGAATAAATACTTATCGATTTTTCTAACAATAATTTTTTTTTTTTAATTTTTTCAATTTTGCACCTTTATAAAATATTTTCTTTAATTGAAACTAATAATTTAATTGAAATAAATTTGACTCGCAGTAATCGTTAATTTCATCGTTTTATTTATAAAATAAAGTTCGTTAACTATATAATTTTTAATTACTTTAATTAGCAAAAATTTTTGAAAAATTTTAATAACTCCAAATCGTGTAAAATTTATTTTTAAACAAAATTTTTAATAACATTTCACGAACTAATACAATTATTTTCTAAAATTTTAATAAATCCTCAAAAAAAATTCAATTATTTTTTTAAATAGTAAAATCTTTGCAAAAATTAAAATATTTTCAAGAAAATTTCACGAAATAATTCAATTTCTTTTAATTCGTTATAAAATATTTCAAAAGAATTCAATTATTTACTAAAATTTTAATAAATCCTTCGAAACAATTCAATTTTATTTATAAATTGTACAATTCTTTGCAAAAATTCAATTATTTTCAATAGGTACAATTTTAATAAAATTTCATAAAAGAATTCAATTTTTACAAAATTTTTAATAATATTTTTCGAAAAAATTCAATTATATTTCTAAATAGTAAAATTCTTTGCAAAAATACAATTATTTTTAATTCCATTTTTAATAAAATTTCCTGAAAGAATTCAATTTTTAATAATATTTACCGAAAAATTTCAATTAATTTTTAAATTTTTAATAAATCCTTTAAAACAATTCAATAATTTTTTTAAATAGTAAAATCTTTGCTAAAATTCAATTATTTTCAAGAAAATTTCACTACAATTAATTTATTTTTTGAATAGTAAAATTTCTGCAAAAATTCAATTATTTTTTTAAAATTTAATAAATCCTTTGAAACAATTTAATTATTTTTTCAAATAGAAAAATCTTTGCAAAAATTCAATCATTTTCAAGAAAATTTCACTAAAGAATTCAATTTTTTTCTTAATTCGTTATAAAATTTTTCAAAATAATTCAATTATATTTTAAAATTTTAATACAATTCAATTATTCAATGATTATTTTCAATTATTAAGAAACACGATTATTTTAAAAACTTGAAAGAAATTATTCATAAAATTCAATTATTTTCAAAATTTCCATTTAAAATTGTTAAAGAAACTACATTATTTAAAAAAATTTAAAGGAATTCTTCAAGAAGAATTTAATTGGAATTTTGAAAAATTTTAACAAAATTCTTTACGAGAATTCAATTATTTTCCTAAATAATAAAATTCTTCGAAGGAATTCTATTATTATTAAAACTTTTGATAAAATTCTTTCCAACAATAAAGAAATTCGTAAATAAATTTAACAGGAACATTTTTTTGAGTCAAATTTTTTTCTTTATTTTCTAAAAATTCAAGAATTTTCAATTTTATTTTCAATTAAAATTTATAATTGACAAATAGAATTTATTAATTACTTTTATTGAAAATACTGAAAGAAATTACTGAAAATATTTGTAGTTAAATTTACTACTAAAATTTTTCCAGTATTGTTAAAATTATAATTATTTTTGTCACAGGTGGCTGGAGCTATTGTAACGTACGAAGTTGTGCTTCTGCAATTCAACATGGCTTTGCAAAAGTAAATGCGGAAATAGAAAGAAATAAAGACGAAAGCAATAAAAAAAGGACTTAAGGATTTAAAGTAAAAGAGGATTTGAGTAATATGTGATTTTGTTATCTCGTGATGAGCTTTTTTTTATTATGATTAACTCTGATGCAAGATAATTTCTATCTACTCAAAAAACAGTATTATATTATACAAAACTTTTTTATATGAATAAAATCATCGTATATAACAAATTTTCGAACAATATAATTTATATTTAATTAACAGTTTGTTTTATTTTCTAAATTATTTTTTATTTAAATCATTTTCTAATTAAATCATTTCTAAATTAAATTTTACAGACAAAATTTTTATTGTCCTAAAAAGAATTTTTGAACTATTGTTTTTTTCTTCCACTTTTACTTCGATCATTTATTTTCTTTCTTAATTTATTAAGTTTCTTAGTTAAAAATTAATTTTTATTTTCAGTCATTCAAAATTTTTCCTTCGTTTGAGGGTTCATTCTGTTGAACCGAATTGAACTGAACGAGGACGAGTTCGTAAGTGACTATTGTTCCCGCTACCTGAAAAGTAATTTCTATTATTATTTATTTATTTAGAGAAAAAATTTATTTTTCAGTTTTTTTTATACAAACCGTCAGAACAAGACCCCGAGTGATGGAAAAGAACTTCATTCCTGTGAAACTGATACTATCAGTAGTGACTTGGGTTAAAAATCTATCAACCTGATAAAAAGATCAATTTTTAATTAATCTTTAGATTATTTTTTTATTAATATTATTAATATCAATACTAATTTTAATTAATTTGAAAATATTAATTTAAATTAATTTGAAAATGTTAATTTTAATTAATTTTCATTGATTTGAAAATATTAATTGTAATTAATTTGAAAATATTAATTGTAATTAATTTGAAAATATTAATTGTAATTAATTTGAAATCAGTTAATTTGAATTACTTTGAAAAAATCAATTTTAGTTACTCTGAAAATATTAATTTTAATTAATTTGGAAATATTATTGATGATTAACAATTTTATTCGCTTTTCAGAGACGAACCTCTGGGGAATAATTGGAGGTGGAGACGCTGTATAAAACCGGAGCCGCAAGCACGGATTCATCATGCACTCCTGCAGCAAATAGAGAAACTGCAGCAGTTCTCACCAAAAGGAATCCAAAGGAAAAACAAAAGTACGTTGTCTGCACAGCATTTCTCATTGGACTGTGAAAAAATCGAACAATTATCTTATTTTTTCTAATTCAGAAAATTTTTCAAGTTTTTCTTTTCTATTTTTTTTTTTTTTTTTTTGCACTTCAAACTTTTTCTACTCTAAGTACAAAAATTTTATCAGGAAAGGAAAAAAGGAATGAAAAACAAATTCGACATAATATCCTGATAGATTTTTCTACTTTCACTACTTTTCAAAATTTGGATAATTTTGTACCTCGAGAAAACCTGCCATTCGAGAAAGCTTTAGAAAATAAAGTATACAAATATTATTAAATTCAAAAATATCTAATTAGGAAAATCTACTCTAAATAAAACTCTTGTTTTTATAATTATTTGAAAAAAAGAGAATTTTTCTAGTCTCACGATTTAGTGATGTTTAATTTTCTTTTTCAGAATGAAATTTAAAAATTGGAAGTATAGAATTGAGAAGGAAAAAAAATGATAAATACTTGAAGGAATGAAGAAGTTGAATGCAGATAAAATAGAGATTTGTTGAGAAGGACAATAGAACGATATCCGAGATGTGAGAGTCAATGTATCTTGTCATTGTTGAAAGACGATTGAAATCCATTCTTGCTTCAGCCCACCACCATTCTGGCATCGCCTTCACAACGAAACAGTGCTGTTGTTGTTGTTGATTTGAGTTTTAAAAATTCGAAAAAATACCATGCAAAAGCTGAGTATTGTGTTCAATAATTTTCATTATTGGGCAGAAAAAAATCTATTTTAATTTGAATTTTTTAAAAAAATATTTTCTTGCAAAGAATAGAGGAAATTTTTACTCATCACGAAAAGAAAAGAATACAGTCCTCGGATACTTCGATTTTTTGGACTTTTTTTCCAACAATTTTTAGAAAAGGCAACATTTTTCGATTTATTTTCAAAAAATGCAATTATTTGAACTTTTTTTCAACTATTTTTCAGAAAAGGCAACTTCTTTCGATTTATTTTCAAAAAATGCTATTATTTGAACTTTTTTTCAACTATTTTCAGAAAAGGACACTTTTTTCGATTTATTTTAAAAAAATGCGATTATGTCGACTTTTTTTTACAAATATTTCAACAAAATACCAATTTCTTTTCGTATAAAAAGCAAATTTCTTCGATTTTTTATAGTGTCAAAAATAACTAGTCAAATATTTCGGAATTTATTTATTTTTTGATTTTCAATTTTAATGTTTTTAATTTTTCTAAGATTATTTAATTTTCAAAATGTGTAATTAAAAAGTAATTCAGTATTTAAAATTTTGTGAAAGTTTATTGAAAATAATTTGATTTTTTTTATGTATTTCATTAAATTGAAAATTATCTTCAAAAAAATTATAGAAAGAAATTATTTTAGAAAAACAATTCTTAGATTTTTTTAAAATTTATTTATTTTAAAACGGGTCAATTTCATATTTCCGAAACTAAAAATATCTACAAAAATTAATTACATTAAATACTCAATTTTTTTAAAAATCTAATTTTTTCTGAATTATTACAATTTTGTAGAAATCGATTATTTTTAAAATTTCTAATAAAAATTCTTAAAAACAAATTGATTAGTTCTAAAAATATTGTGCAAATTTTTTTTTAAATAATTCAACTATTTTTGAAAAATAACATTATAATTAACCACAAGAAAGTTCTGAAAATTATTAAAAATCATTCATTTAGAGAAGAAGTTCAGTTAAAAATTCTTGAAAATAATTAAATTTAGTAGGAATTGCAGTTTTAATTCTTAGAAATAATAAAATTTCAGACTTTTTCAAATTGAAAATTAAAAAATTTAAATTTCTGTTAAAAATGAATAATAACAAGTTTTTTGAATAATTTTATTTAAATAATTTTTAAAATAATTGAATTTTGAAAGAATTGCAGTTTAAAAATTCAACAATTGTCAACAAATTTGACAAAATTTCAATTATTTGGAAATTTTTCAATTATTGAATTATTTTATTTGAGAATAATTAAATTTCTTCCAAGAATTTTATTATTTATAAAAATAATTGAATTCTCGACAAGAATTTTATTAAAATTTTTGAAATTCATAATTAAATTCTTTTGAAGAATTTCTTTCAATTTTTTTTTTAAATAATGGAGTTTCTTTGATAATTTTAAATAAAAATTTTTCCAGTAACTGAATTTTATGAACAATTTCTTTCAACTTTTTAAAATAATCTTATTTCTTATAATAATTAAAATTTAACAATTAAATTATTGGATTTAAAAAAATTTTATTAAAAATTTTAAAAAAATTGAATTGTTTCGAAGGATTTATTAAAATTTTAGAAAATAATTGAATTCTTTCGAAAAATTGTATAACGAATTAAGATAAAAATAAATTCTTTCGTCAAATTTTACTAAAAATTTTTAAAGAATTGCAAAAATTTTACTATTTGAAAAAATAATTTAATTGTTTCGAAAGATTTATTAAAATTTTTAAAAAATAATTGAATTTTTGCAGAGATTTTACTATTTAAAAAATTATTGAATAGTAGTGAAAGATTTATTAGAATTTAAAAAAATAATTGAATTCTTTCGTAAAATTTTATTGAAAATAATTGAATTTTCGCAAAAATTTTACTATTTAAAAAAATAATTAAATTGTTTCAAAGGATTTATTAAAATTTTAGAAAATAATTGATTTCTTTCGTGAATTTTTAGTAAAAATTTAAAAAAATTGAATTTTGGCAAAAATTATGTACTTAATAAGTGAATGTTTTTAATTTTAATTATTAAATTTATCGAAAATTTATATTTAAAAATAAAAAATTTTATAATTGAATTTAGAAATTAGTGAAAAATTAATTTAAAAAAATAAAGTTTTTATGACAATACTGAATAAGATTTTCCATTTTTTCGCCTTTATTTTTGAATCTTTAATCGACTAAAGCGACTTTTTTCTTGCCTTAAAGTCGTAATCCGAGAATTGGAATAAGACGAAAAATTAAATTGAAAAACAAAAAGAAAACAAAGTTATATAAATATTATCTTTTTTCAAAAGCGTGTAGAAAGTGAAAGAAAAATAATTTTTTGACATTAATATTATAAGTTTTGTGCGATGACAATTTTCTTTTAATTGAAAATGAAAAGCAAGCTAAATATTATTTTCAAGAATCAAACAATTTTTGAAATTTTTTTTTTTTTTTTTGAAATAGAAAATAGAAATAGAAACGCAAATAATTCCAAGCAAGTAATTTTTGTGTCTTTAATTTGTTATTTAGATGGAAAATTGTACCTTTCCTCTGATGGCGTAGAGTCGACTATTCAAGTGACGAAATTGATCCGTAGCAGCAATACTGATGAGTATTAAAAACAAATCTATGAAATTCCAAGAAAATGTGCTGAGTATGTTCACAAATTGAACTAGAATTCCTTGCCAAATTGTGAATGTCGACGATTTTAAAATCTAAATTAAAAAAAATTAAAATGAATGGAAATTTTTTATTTTCTGCTCAATTCTCAAAAGTAGGATTCTAAAAGTATTTTATTCTCAATACTATTAACGCTTTTTCTTGAAAATATATTTTTATTTTTATTAAATATAACCAAGACTTGGTTTTCTTCAAATAAAATATAAAAAAATAAGTACAGTCAATTTTCGATAATTAAAATATCGATAAATTAAATTTCGTAATTAATTCAATTTGCTTTTTTGGTCCCTTGAAAATTTCTTTTTACTTAAAACATTTGATAAATAAAACCCTCGATAATTTTAATTATTTCTATGTCCATTGAGATTCAATTTATCGAGAATCGACTGAAATATTAAATTAATATTATTATTAATAAATAATAAATTTAAAAAGAGAAAATAGAAAAATAAGGAAAGAATTACTTTTTACTTTACTAAATTGATTTTACAATTCAATAAATAAAACCCTCGAAAATTTGAATTATTTCTATGTCCCTTGAGACTCAATTTATCGAGAGTCTGTAATATTAAATTAATATTTATATTAATAAATAATAATAAATTTAAAAAGAAAAAATAGAAAAATAAGGAAAGAATTACTCTATATTTTACTAAATTGATTTTTTAATTAAAAACAACGAGGAGAAATTTTCAAGGACTTGCGAGATAATTTATCAGAAAATATCGCGTGATTGTTAATTAATAATAATCTACCTGAGGATAATGATATGTGAAGTACGCGATTAGGATATCAGTATCATTTTTCAGAGACGTACATTCAACGGCACTCACATATCCTGAGAGAATTGACAGCGTGTGTTCTACTATTTTAATAGAAAATTTTTTTCAATTATCATTATAAGTCATCTCAATTACTGCTTTAATAATAATAAAAGTTTTTAGAAAAACAAATTAAAACTCACATGCTGCCAGCATCATTATTATTAATGTTATGATTTTAAATTTAGCAGCGAGACTATATTTTGAAATTCGTCGATTTCGTCTCGTCGACAATTCCTGCTCCATATTTTGCCATGTTACCGAAAATTCCGGCCATTTGCGTGCCAATTTTAATAGAAGCAAAGTGGTCACACCCGTTGTCGCGAAAAATACCACATTTGCTGGAAAACAAATTAGTAAAATTAGGTAATTTTTTTTTCTTTTTGAAATTTTAGTTTTCTATAAACTTTCCCAAAACTTTTTTTTAACTTTCTATAAGTTTCTATAACTTTTATTACTTTTTTATACTTTATATTTTTTTTTTGAAATTTGACTTAAACTTTTCTACTAAAATTTAGTAAAAATTAGAAAAAAAATCAATTAGAATAAAAAAATTATTACTTAGTTCTATTTTCTCTTAAATTCTTAATTCGAGACTTCTAAATCTCGAATAAAGAATAATAGTAAAAAAATAGTAAATTAAAATTTACTTTAATTTAATTTAATTTAATTAAAAAGAAAATTTAAATTTGTTATTTAGTTGTAAAGTAAATAATACTTCAGTTATTATTAAATTTATTTTTCTGCTTAAATTCGTATTTTATTTAATATTTATAATATTTAATTTATTGTAAAATAATTTTATTCTAAACTTACTTGTTTTTTTAGATGTTATTGTACTCGTCGCCACGCCATGGATACTGAAACCTGTTAAAACTGCCGTTCCCATTGTGGCAACAAAACAATAAAAAACCTTGAGACTCTTCCACGTGAATCTAAAGGAAGATAATATTTTTTTGAAAATGGAAAAGAAAAAATGGGAATAAATGTGTGACCTACTTTATTTCACGGGCATCAGTGGTATTTGTACCATCCACAGGAAGTAATGCGAAACACTGGGCTAATACAATTATTGGTCTGATTGCTACAATGAAACTGTCGGAATTGAAAATTTTTCTCTGATTATTGACAACTGGACTCGCCGCTGCAATTTGATGAGAGAATTTTAATTTCGAAATGAATTCTTGTCAAAATTTAAAACAAGAAAGGAAGGAAATAATAAAAAATAAAATAAAAAAAAGTACGTACGTTCAGTAGAGTTTTCCATTTTTCCGGTTTCTTTTAAAAATCGTTCAAGTAGTGAATCACTTTTAAATAATCTTGAAGAATGAATAACGGACAAATTTGATTCTTCTCCTTCAAATCTAAAAAAGTAAATTAAAAAATTACTGTTCTAATTTTATTAGTGTATTAACAAAATTATAATTTAACAAATTCGTATTAGTAATTTATTTAATTTTTGAATTTCGAAATTAAAAATTCTATTATGAAAAATAATACACCTACAATAATTTAATTTTCGTTTTAGAAAAATTTCCATCTTTTCAAGATTAAAATTACTAAGTCAACAAATTTATTCTCTGTCGTTTGATCGACAAAATGCTTTTAAATGATGAATAAAGTAGAAGCTCTTAACTTTGATTTCTTTTCTATTCTTCTGCTATTATTTTTATATTTATAGTAAATATTATTTTACTGTCTAATAAATAAAATACTATTATGAAGAAAAATTTTTTTAAAAAATATAAAAGTAAAATAAAATAAAGTGTAATAAAATAAAGTGTAATAATAATAAATAATAAACGGACAAATAAACGATTTTATACATAAAAAAAAATTCTTCAGGATTAGTTAATTAACTAAATTCGTTATTTTGTGAAATAAATTTTATCATTCAGTTAATTAGCAAAAAATATTTTCAGATTCGTGTGCAAAATAGGAGGAAACACTCACCCTTCATTATCTTCATTAGAGGATGGAATAATTTTCGATGATCGAGGAATTAACATTCTATCAGCGGCTGATGTCTTGGTCACTAACTCAAAATTACTCGATTTCATTTTATTCACTTCATGGTCTCTCATTAAAGAGTTTGATTAGGAAATTTCGAAAGTTAAATTTTATTTTTCTAAGTTAAAACTTTAATCACCGATTGATGCATTTTTTATTTACAAAAAATTATAAACTGCAAAAAAAAGGAGTTTATTCACCGAATGATGCATTTTTCGTTTAGAAATTTATAAAATTAATTATAAACTGCAAAAGAAAAATTATGGAAATAAATATAAATTGTAAAATAATAATTATCAGACAAAAATTATGGAAATAATTATAAATTACAAAATAATGATTATGTAAATAATTTTTGCAAATAATTTTACTATTTATAAATAAAATTGAATTTTTTCGAAATATTTGACAACGAATTAGGAAAAAAATTGAATTCTTTCGGGAAATTTTTTTGAAAATAATTGAATTTTTGCAAAGATTTTACTATTTAAAAAAATAATTGAATTTTTACGAAAAATAATTGAATTCTTGCAAAAAATTGTGCAATTTATAAAAAATAATTTAATTCTCACGAAAAATAATAATATTTATGAAAACAATTGAATTCTCACAAAGAATTTTATAATAAAATTTGAGAATAATTTAATTTCTTTGAATAATTTTATTATTTATGAAAATAATTGAATTCTCGCGAAGAATTTCTTTAAAATTTTTTAAAATCGTAATTAAATTCTTTTAAAGAATTTCTTTCAATCTTTTTTTAAATAATGGAATTTCTTTAATAATTTTAATTAAAAATTTTTTAAATAATTAGATTTTAGGAACAATTTCTTTCCAGTTTTTAAAATAATCGTGTTTGTTAATAATTAAAATTGAACACTTAATTATTGAATTTTATTAAAATATTAGAAAATAATTGAATTCTTTTGAAAAATTTTATAACGAATTAAGAAAAAAATCGAATTTTATCGTAACCTTTTTTTTGAATATAATTGAATTTTTGCAATAAATTTTACTATTATAAATATAATTGAATTGTTTCGAAGCATTTATTAAAATTTTGAAAAGTAATTAAATTTCTTCGAAAAATATTCTTAAAATTTTTTTAAAAAATTGAATTCTTTCATTAAATTTTATTAAAATTATATTAAAAATAATTGAATTTTTGCAAGGAATTTTACTATTTATGAATAGTATTCTTGGAAGAATTTATTAAAATTTTAGAAAATAATTGAATTCTATTGAAATTTTTTATAACGAATTCAGAAAAAAATTGAATATTTCGTGAAATTTTTTTGAAAATAATTTTTTTAATTTTATTATTTAATAATTAAATTATTTTATTATTTATTATTTATTATTAATAATATAAATTATATTATATAATAATAATAATAATAATAATAATTTTATTATTTAATAATTGTTTTAAAAAATTGAATCTTTTCATGAATTGTTATTAAAATTATATTAAAAATAATTGAATTTTTGCAAATAATTTTAAATAATTAAAAATAATTGAATTCTTTTAAAATTGTATTCGTTCGTGAAATTTTATTAAAATTTTTGTTAAAAATAATTGAATTCATGCAAAAAATTGTGCAATTTATAAAAATAATTGAATTCTTGCAAAAAATTGTGCAATTTATAAAAATAATTGAATTCTTGCCAAAATTGTGCAATTTATAAAAATAATTGAATTCTTGCGAAAAATATTTATTAAAATTTTTGAAATTAATAAACAAAAATAATTAATTAGTAAATTAGTTAATAATTGAATCTTTTTGAAAATAATTGAACTTTTGCAAAGAATTTTACAATTTATTAAAGTAATTGAATTAATTCGAAGGATTTATTAGAAGTTTAAAATAAAATTTATAAAACAATTATTGTGGAAATTATTATAGAATAATAATTATAAAATTAATTATAAACTGAAAAAAATTACGAGAATAAATATAAATAAAATAAAAATTCCAAAACAAAAATTATGGAAATAATAATTATGGCAATAATTATAAATTGCAAAGTAATAATTGTGGAAAAAAGTATAAATTAGAAAATAATTATTACTGGAATAGTTATTAATTTTTAAAATAATAATTATGTAAATATTATAAATTATAAAGTAATAATTACCGATAATTATGGAAATAATGATAAATCGCAAAATAATTATAGTAAGAAATTCTAATTAATTTCTAAAAATGTGTTTTTGTTTTTCTTTTCAGAGAAACGAATTGGAGATTATATTTTTTTTCACGTGATTTCTAATGAACAAGACGAGAGTAAATAAAAGATAGTTTGCTGAAATAAATGAAATGTCGTGTCTACATGTTACACTCACGGGGAAACTTGACAAACTGATCATCATCCACGAAGAATGAAAAAGGTAACCGCGATCTGATAAAAGAATTGTGTGAGTTGACATTCACGCCACCCCGGTTTGTTCGATTTGAAAAACAAGAGGATACCACCACACACTCACACACCATAAGAATGGCATTAGTATTTTTATGTCAATATACCCCCAAGCAAACATAGAAAAGTGCTCTCTATGTTTTTTCTTGCCCACCCTAATGATGTCTCTACACGTTTCTCTTACTTCTGTCCAGGTAAAACAACAATATTTACTAGACAATCAATTATTCCGATTTTCAACTCCTAAATCCGTCACTCACACATCTGTTCCATTTTATTTTTTTGAAAAACCAATTAATTAATTTTTCAAATCCATTCTCGAGGAAATTTAAAATTTTATTTTTTAAATGAATGCAAATTTTTCATTCTTTCGTTTGGTAAATTTATTCCCGAAAAAATCAATTATTTAACAAAAATTTTATACTTCTTATGAAGAATTAAATTAATTTCAAAAGTACCAAAATTTTTCTTTCACAGAAATTTATTTCTTTTTAAACATTTTAATAATTTTTTTTGCAATAATTCAATTATTTTCATAAATAACGAAATTCTTCTCAGGAATTCAATTATTTTTGAAAATTTTAATAAAATTCATCGCAGGATTTCAATTATTTTTAATACAATTTTACAGGAATTATTCAAAAAATGTAATTATTCTTAAAAAAATTTAATTTCAATTCCTCGAAAAAGTCAATTATTTAAAAAAAATGTTTTTTTTTAATTCTTTGGAAGAATTCAATTATTATTTACGGGGCAAAAATATGAGAATTTTTCACAGGAATTAAATTATTTTCAAATATTTTAATAAAATTGTTCGAAAGAAATCAATTATTTTAAATACATTTTTTTGAAATAATTAAATTATACTTTTAGATTTTAATTATATTCTTCCCAAGAATTCAATTATTTACATAAATAATTCTTTGAATGAATTCAATTACGTCGATAAATAAAAAAATTATTCCTGAAAATTTAACTATTTTGAGGCATTTTAATAAAATTCTTTGAAAATTCAATTATTTTCATAAATAACAATATTCATTCAATTACTTTTAAGAGTAAAAATTTCTATTTGGAAATTCAATTTTTCATGAAAAATAAAATTTTTACAGGAGATTTAATTAATTTCGTAAATAATAAAATTCTTTTTAGGAATTCAATTATTTTCATAAATAATAAAACTCATCGCAGAATTTCAATTATTTTTAATACAATTTTAGTCGAATTCCTCGAAAAATGCAATTATTCTTAAATTTATGAAAATAATTGAATTTCTAAAAAGAATTTTATTATTTACGAAAATAATTAAATCTCTGTAAAAATTTTATTATTTATGAAAATAATTGAATTTCCAAAAAGAAATTTATTACTTTTAAAAATAATTCTATTCTCGTAATGAATATCGTTATTTATTAAAATCATCGAATTGTTGCACATAATTTTTTCAAAAAATTTGATAATAATACAATTCCTTTGAAGAATTTTTTTTATTTAGGAAAATAATTGAATTCTCGTCATAAATTTTATTTTTATGTTAAAATTTTTGATAATTCTAATTAATTTCTTTTTAAAGAATTTCTTTAAATTTCTTTTAAATAATAGAGTTTCTTTAAAAATTTTTTAAATAATTGAATTTTTTGAACAATTTTTTTCAAGTTTTTAAAATAATCGTGTTTGTTAATAATTGGAATTCACCATTTAATTATTGAATTTTATTAAAATTTTAGAAAATAATTGAATTTTTGCAAAGAATTTTACTATTTATAAACACAATTGCATTTTTTCGAAGAATTTAATAAAATTTTTGAAAAAAAGTGAATTCTTTCATGAAATTGTTTTGAATAAAATTTAATTTTTTCGAAAAATATTATTAAAAATTTTTTTTAATGAATTATTTCATGAAATGTTATTAAAATTGTCTTAAAAATAATTGAATCTTTGAATTCACTATTTTAGAAAATAATTGAATTATTTTGAAATATTTTTTATCGAGTTAAGAAAAAAATTGAATTTTTTTGTGAAATTTTTTAGAAAATAATTTTTTTTTGATTTTTTTTCAGACCAAAATTCAATAAAAATTCAAATTTAGTTAATTTTTTGATTTGGATTTATAAAGAAAGAATCTTTAATTTGTATTTTATTCCAGACCGAAAGTAAATAAAAAATGCGAATTTTGTTAATTTTTTTGATTCCAATTTTAAAAAAATCGATATTTTTTATTTCTATTCTAATTTTTATTTTCATTTTATTTTCAATCTAATTTCTGTTTCTTTCCAGACAGAAATTCAATAAAAATTCAAATTTAGTTAATTTTTTTATTTCAAATTGTAAAAAAAAGAATTTTTATTTTGTATTTTATTTCATACCCGGAAGTGAATAAAAAAAGGGAATTTAGTTTCAAATTATAATTTTCATTTCGAAATAATGAAAATTTAATAATTGGAAAATATTCTCGATAATCTTTTTCATTTCGGAACTAATTAGACTTTTTCAATAACTCAAAAAGTTAATTTACTTTTTACCGTCAACTCGATATAAAGAAAAAAAATCCTCTTTAAAATATATTGTTCGCAATATCCCAGCGAATATGATAATAATCGTGTTTACAATATGAGCAACTAATATTGAGCGCATTTAATAAAGTTTCATAAAACATATTTTAAAAAAGAGAGATAAAACGATTACTGTGCATACACTCATCGGAAAAGAAACCCTATTTGTTTTTTATTTCAAGTGAGATTCCATCAAATTGACAGGAAAATTAATTTCTCGACAAAATGATACTCTGCCAACGATATTTATTTTGTAATGTCCAGCATTAACACGTCTGATAAAAATAAACGACTAGCTTTTTATTAATTTTTTCCTTTTTTTTAATGAGAAGCTTCAAAATGACAATATTCTTTTTGAAAAAAAACAATGTGGAAAAAAACGATTTTCTCCTTTCTTTTTGTCATGGAAAACGCTCACGAAATTTTCGTTTTTTAAATTCAAGATCACACACAAATTTCGTAGTTAGTTTTTTTGGTTTTTCGTTTTTGAAAAAAGAAGCTGGAGAATTTATAATTGGCACACTCAAGTAATCACAATCTATATCGCTTTGAGAAAAATACACAATTATTTGAATAAAGCTAAATAAATTCGGTGATATTTCACCAGTTTTTTTTTGAGATCATTTCGAGCATTCGATGTAAAATCTTATAATTTAATTAATAGTTTTCGTAGATTAACCAAAAATTCCAATTCCTTCATTTTTTTTCTTTTTTCACAATTATAATTGACACATCTGGGAAAATTGCAAATCTCCTGATAATTTTTTTAGTGATATCAATATCAAATAGTTAAGAAAAAACTATTTTAGAAAAATTGTCAAAATTGTGCGACAGTTTAAAATAATTTTTTCTCTTCCATTTCTATTTTCTCGTTTTTGTCTTTTTTTTGTAATCCTGTCGAAAATTTCCAATTTGTTCGATATTTCAAGGTAATCTTCAAAATATTTTTATTTTGTCAAAACGAAATCATGCAAAATTTTATTTTTTATTAATCGATTTAAAAATCGAAAAACGATTTTTGAAAAAGAAAAATTCGCTAAATTGAATGAATTGGAAAATTCCGACAGAAAAAATGATCCTGTACAATTTCTCGTGGTTTTTTTCTGTTTTAAATATTATGGATAGATATTTACAATTTTTTTTTCATTCTTATTACAAATTAATGTACAACTTTTTTTTTGCTCGGTGTACAATTTTTTAATTTTTAATTGATTTTTTAATTGTGTAGTAAGTAAATATGTGACATGTCATGAGAATACACTAACTATATAAAATCGAAATTGCATTACTCTCAAGAGGATAGGTCGCGTTATTATTTTCCTATATTAGAGATTTGATTCGTGAAATTGTCTAAAAAATAAATATCAGTTCCATAATTTTTTGAAAAGCATTTTTTTAAATTTAATTCTAATTTGGCAACTTTATCCTCTTAATTCATCATAATTACGTTTAGACAAATTAACATAGAATATTTTCTTTTAAATATACATTTTATTTACACACACACACACTCGCAGGCACGCGCCAAAAAATTCCCGTGTTGTATATAATAATTCAAATATTATTATTTCACAAAAAAAAAGATGGGAATCGAGATAATGTGAAAAATGAGATATCACAAAATACAAAGTCTCTATTTGCGCATTTTCCTATAAATTGTAAGTACTTCGCGTTAAAGAAATACAACGGAAATTTTTTATTTTCAATAAAAAAACTCCCAAAATTGAAATATCTATAAAAAATAGAATCTAACAAATTTTTTAACCAATTTTTAAATAATTTAGAATTACAAATTTATTTATCACAAATTTCAATTTATTAGAATTATTTCAAATTAATAATTTTTAGTTACTTTTCTTCTAGTTTATCTTTTATTTTTTACTCTTATTACCTTTCTAACTTTAATAAATTTTCAAATAAAGAAACGAGGAATAAATCCAATTTTTGAATTAAATAGAAAAATATTTTGCAAGATAATAAAAATTCATCTTTTTTCGAATAGAAAAAAATATATTCGAAAATTCGCATTATTAATTCATGAAAGACTCGCTGTATCTCTTTAACTGCTTTGACGCAAACAGTATCACATACGCATTATAGAAATAGTCTCTGCTGTCTAGTGAAACTTTCGTACATAAAAGGGGTGATGCTTGTGATTCACATATACAGTTGACTGATTCGCATTTAAATTCAATTGAAATTCACAAAATCAAACTTTTTCTTCCTAGAAAAAAGTACAAACATTTTTAATATAAAATACGTAATTATTTTTACTAATAATTTATTTTTAATAAAATTTTACGAAATTAATTTTTCTGCTCTAATTTTCATCTTTTTGTGAATTCAGGCCTCGGATCGATTTTAAGACACAAAAAAAGTCGCTTTAGTCGATTAAAAATACAAAAAAAGTCGAAAAAGTCGACTTATTTAATTTAGTGTTGCAACAAAAATTTTATCTTGTTACTGTAATTATTGTCCATGTTTTTTTAAAGTAATTAAGGTATAATAATAGTTTTAAAAAAAATATAATAAAGAAACTCTTAAAATTAATCTCTTTAAAATATTTCTTAAAAATTTTTTTAAAGACAATAGTCTTTCAATTATAACAATTAAAAAATTACCAAACAATTGAATTTTGGTAAAATCTTTGAAAAATAATTGAAATTCGATAAATTCTTCTTAAAACAATTAAATTTTGGTAAAATCGTTCAAAAATAATTGAAATTTGAAAAGATCTTTTACAAATAATTGAATTTTTGAAAGATTTAAAATAAATAATCAGATTTTT